TCTCTCTCTCTCTTTTTGGTGCCAGTCCTGGGGCTTGAATTCAGGGCCTGGGTGCTGACCCTGAGCTTCTTTTGCTCAAGGGTAGTGCTCTACCACTTGAACTACAGCTCTACTTTTGGCTTTTTTGGTACTTCAGTGGATAAGAGTCTCTCGGACTTTCCTGCCTGGGCTGGCTTTGAACTGTGATCCTCAGATCTCAACCTCCTGAGTAGCTAGGATTATAAGCATGAGCCACTGTCACTCAGCCTTCTTTTTTTTTTCTCATATTTTCTCTTTTTTTTTTGTTTTTTTTTTTTAAATTTTATTTTATTTTATTTGTGAACATACTGTACAGAGGGGTTACAATTGCATGGGCAGGATAATGCGTACATTTCTTACCAAGCATTGCAGCCTCCTCCTTTGTTTACCCTTCCCATCCCTTCCCAGCCTCCCCCCTTCCCCCATCACTCAGCCTTCTTATCTCCATTTAACCACCACTCCCCCCCAAACTCCCAAATACCTCAAAACTGAAAGGGGGTCTGTGACTCAAGTGGTAAAACATTAGCCTTAAGTTAGAAAAAAAAAAGAGAGGGAGGGGGGAAGGAGAATGGGGTGGGAGGGGAGGAGAGGGGATGAAGTAGAGCCCCTCCCCTTGCAGGACTGCTGCCTTCCTGGAGGAGATGGGGGGGACATCTGCCTGCTTCTGGGGAGGAGGGGGGGACAGGGTGACAGGACAGTGGGTGGAGGCCAGGCGGTGAGGCGGACACCTGCACAGGTCGTGTTTGAGCTCTGTTCCCCAGGTCAGGAGGGACCTGGGACAGGACAGCAGGTCAGCTGGTTGAAGACAGCATCAGCCAGGGCCTGGTGTGGGCGTGAGGACCCCACATGCTCTGAGGCCTCACAGAGGGGGGCAGGGCATGGGGAGGCTGTCCCAGGCCACTGGGGGGGATCTTTGGTGAGGCAGGGGCCCCAACAGCTCTGGGGAGGGCCAAGGCCTCCTGAGAGGGAGCAGATGGGGTGCTGCTTTGACTAGGTACTGCGGGCCCCCATCAGTGCCCAGGCCTTTCCTCGGCTGGAGCCAGTAAGCTGTCAGGCGGCCCGTCTGCTCCCTGGCCTGGCCTCCGGGCCGCCCACCGTGCCCCTGATTAGCCGGCATTGGCAACGGCCAGGGCAGCAGACGGGCTCTCCCGCCGCCCAGCGCCCTCCACTGACCTAGCTGAGCTAGAGAACACGGAGGCCTGTGCCAGGCCGCAGTCTCGGCGCCCCTGTTCTCCGCCTCCCCTCTCCCTGGCCGCAAGCTGTGCCCCTGGCAGAGGCTGGCACGTGCCCAGCCATTTCTACTTGAGCTGGCCTGGCAGAGTGGCCAGGCTAATCTGGGCTGACAGGTTCTGTCTGTGGAGAGTGCCCAAACCTCAAGGGGAGATGGCGGGGAGGAAGCTCACCCCCTCCCTGCCATGGAGGGCCCCCCACCCCGCTGCCCTGCGTCTCCTCCCCTGAGGGCAGAGAGTCAGAGCAGCTCTCTCCATGTGGCCTCTGCCCTGAGACCACCCACATCCGATGCCCTGGCTGGACCCCTCTGCTGGACCCCAGACCCTGAGAGCTCATGAAACGACTTCTTAAAGATACACACTAGGCACCCCCAAACCTGCATGTCCAGATGGAGCCCAGTCTCTCCTGCTGGCCACCCCCCTGACCCTGGCTGCTCAGGCCACAAAGCTGGCACGGCCCTGCCTCCTTCCTTCCTGTCACCTCCTCTCCTTTGGCTCAGTGATCAGAGCACCTCCAGAGAGAGTCTGCCCTGACCTGCCTCCTCCGCTGGGCTCATCTGCCCGGGCCCCATGGTCCTCTGGCTGTGGCAGTGGGGCCGGCCCAGAGTCTAAGGGTACAGGGTGAGGAGTCTATCTCTCCGGGGCCTTACTCCAGTCCCAGGGGAGAGCCTCCACCACATGGCCACTATTGTCATCCTGGCTACCAAGCCCACTCTGGGCAGGATAGGAAAACACAGCCCTGAAGCCACAGTGCTCTCGATGTCCTGATGGAGGGAGACAGGTGTGGCAGCACCTCACAAAGCACCAGCTCAGCGCTGGGGACCAAAAGAAAGAAAGAAGAATCTAGGTTAGGAGGCTCCCACCTGTGATCCCAGCTACTGAGGAGGTGGCAATCGGGAGAACTGCATTTCAAGATCACCCCTTCCCCCATCTCAAAGAACAAGCTGGTGTGATGGTATGCACCTGCCACCCCAGTTATGGGAGGGGGTAAATAGGAGGGTTGTGGTTTGAGACCAGCCTTGGGTAAAACCCAAGACCCTAGCTCAAGAATAACTAGAACAGAAAGGGCTGGGTGTGTGTGTGAATCAAACGCTGGAGTCCTGTGTGTCCCCTCCTACTTTGAACTCCCTGAGTTAAAAACCAGCAACTGCTACATCACTGCCCTTGCTGGGCCAGGGCCGGGCTGACCACTGGTGAGCCCCAAGGGGACTGCAGGGGGGCTAAGGATTTGGACTTTCCGCCTGGAGAGAGCTCCTTTGTCAGGTGTCCTGGGCCCTGTTATGTTCTGAGAGTCTTGCTGGACAGGACCAGAGAGGGTGAGCTTGGGCTTGGGGGAGGGGGCTAGCTGTCCATCATTTTTGTGGGGCTACCTGTAGCCTGTCTGGGATCAGCGCCCCGAAAGCCCAGCAAACCCCTGTTGAAAGAGGAGGTGCTTATAGAGGGCTTTGTAGCCAGCTCAGACGAGAAACAGGAAAATCAGGGAGGGCTGCCTGAGGGAGGAGGCTGGCAGGAGGAAGGTGTGGAGGGAGATCCAAGGGTGGCTTGGAGGCAGGGGGTGACTTGAAAGGCGGTTTGTGGACACTCTGTCTGTCTGTCTGTCTCTCTCTGTGGTCTGTCCTTCCTCCTTTTGCCCTGTCTCCCTCCATCTCTTCTCTCTGTTCTTTGCCTCTAGTTGTCTCTGTCTCTGTCTCTCTCCTCTCTTTGCCTGTGTGCCCAGTGCCGGGGGTGGGGGTGGCGGGGTGGGGCCTGTGCTGTGTCACCATCGGCCTGTCTCAGCTCAGGATTTGACCTAACACATAAAGGAAGATTAGTGGAGGTCTCTGGGGCTCCCCCCCCATCCTGCGCCCTCCCTTCCCCTGGCACGGAGGCGACGTTACACTCCTTCAAAGTCCCTAATTAGCTAATTATGCTTCCACTGGGGGGCCCTGGGACCTTGGGGGCCCCTGGGAGAGCCAGGCAGGGAGCTGGGGGCCTCTGGGTTGAGGGAGGTGGAGGAGGGGGAGTGGACGCCGTTTTTGGATGCCAGCCGGGGCGGGGGAGCCGCTCAGAATCTCAATATCCTGGAGAAGAAGAGAAGTAGAATTAATTGAGCCACAAAGGCTGCCCTGGGAGGCAGCGGCAGGGCAGCCAGGCCGGGCTGCGCCTCACAGCCTCTTCCAGGAGCTCCTGCTCCAGCCTCCTGTCCAGCTGCTACCAACCTCCGAGCTCCGGGCACCCTTGCTGCCTCCATCCGGCCTCCCAGATTACAATGCCTGCATCAGGCCTCTTGTTTTGCAGGTGGCCACAACAACAGCACAAGCTCCCCACCTGGCTGTCTGCACAGAGCCTTCTCACCTTAGGCCTCACCTACAGCGACCTCTAGACCCAGCCTCCATACCCATGGGTATTCCCACGCCCAACCCCTTGGGCAGGTCCTTTCTCCCAGCCCTGTGTTCCTTGTCCCTCTACTGCTGAGCTGTGAGCCTGAAAGGGGGCACAGATGGGTCATGTTGGCCTCTGTGTTCTCTGCAGAGGGTAGTAATTGCTGGGTGAAATGTGAGGGAATAAATGAATGAGTGAATGAATACATGAATGATAGGAAGATCTAGAGTTGACCTAACTGCTGGATTCCCTTGGATGGGTTATGTGGAGGTGTGTTCCATTTGCTTGCTCCTTCACCGAGTGCCCCTCTCTCTCCCATTCGGGGTGGAGTTGTAGCCCTGTGCCCAGGCAGCCTTTCCTGAGAGGAGGCTGACCTAGTTTCATGGGAAGGGAAGATGGGGGTGGGTATTAATTATTGATCAGAAATCACTCCGTGAAGAATGCGTGATGTAGATCTAAAATAATTTCCCACGTTAATAACACCCCCCCATGGCCTGTGGAATCAGTACAAATGTGGTCAGGGCCTTTGTGCTTATCACCGCCTTCTGTCCTCCCTTCTCCAGCCTTCTGCTCTCTTCCCTTGACCTACAGCATCATTGGTTCACAAGCAGTCATCTAGCAAATACTGACGGAGCCAGTCTTCTAGGCCTCAACACACGGCAGGCTGAGATTTCTGAGACAGCTTTGAAGCAGTCTCTGCCCTCAGGTGCTCACAGCACCCTGGATGAGACCAGCGGGTAGACACACAATCTGCACTCAGGCCAGAAGGCTAGCTGTCCAGTGTACAACCTGTACCTGGTGCCTGAGGCTAGTTCAGAGGTACTGAGATTGCCGAAACCAGAGGAGTGAGAGATGATCTCAGGGCTCACTGAGTTAACAAGGCTATGGTGGTTGAATAGTAGTTTGCTGGAATGTTCCAGGATGATTAAACAACATGGATAAAAAGAATAGCTTGAGGAAAGAAGGCAAGGTTTAGTTTAAAGGCTAGTTGGTTTAAATCCAGATCCTGCTGCAGGCTTAGGATCTGGAAGGGGTATTCCCCACCCTCTCCCCAAGGCAAGCAGCTTTTCTGGGCCTTCTTGTGTCTCTTGTTTTATAAAACAAGGTGTTGATTTTTAAGTCCCCAGGCAAGTGCCTGGCCTATAAGTCTTGTAAATGCCTGTGCACTCACCCACAATCTGGTATAAGTGTGTCGGGGCCCAGAGCCATTTTCCTAGCTCTCTGAACAGAAGGACAAATGTGGAGGAGAAGGTCACAGGGAGGCATGGAGAGGAAGGAGCCCAACCATGTTGCCCATCTCTCCTCTCTGCTTGTCTGCCCTTCCCTCCTCTCTTCCCCGGACCCCTGCGCTCCTCTGTGCCTGGTGACGACCCCTGTGCCTTCCTCTCCCAGGCATGCGGATCTTGGTGAACCTGCTCCTGGACACGCTGCCCATGCTGGGCAATGTCCTCCTGCTCTGTTTCTTCGTCTTCTTCATCTTTGGCATCATTGGCGTGCAGCTGTGGGCTGGCCTGCTGCGGAACCGCTGCTTCCTGGAGGAGAACTTCACCATGTGAGCATGTGCAGCCAGCATGCTGGTACCTGGCCCTAACCCAGTGCTTAGGACTCAGAACTGAGGGGCAGAAGCAGCCCATTGGGAGAGGGTGGGAGGAGGGAAGGGATACAGCCCATGCTGACTGCTGGGGACAGTGAGAGCAGGAAGTGCCAAAGCTGGCCCAGAATGCCGCTAGCTCTGTGATGATGGTGAGACTGGCTCCCACCCGGACTACTGGGCCCCAAACAGGGGTTGGGCGCTCCCAGGAAGGCATGGCCAAAGCTGGCACATGCAAGCTGAGCTTTGCCCTGAGAGGAGGTACGTTGAGTTACTTGTCTGAAAAGTGTCAGCGTCTGGCTGTGCACCCAGGCTCCGGTTCAGCCTCTCAGCCTTCTCTGGACTAGGGGAGTGGGATTAGTACAGAGCATCAAGGGGAGGCTGGGGGAGGGTCCTGGTATGAGGACATGTGAGGAGCCCCATACAGCCTGCGGGGTCCAGCTCTCCTGAACCTCCCCATCCTGCATCCGGCCATCAGACACTGCTCTGGCTGGGGCTAGATTAGAAACCTCCCAGTACTTCTTAAGAACTGAGCCATTCAGTTACTGGTGCCTCACACCTATAATCCCAGCGACTCAGGAGGCTGAGATCTGAGGATAATAAAGCCCTGGCAGAAAAGTTCATAAGCAAAAAGCTGGTTAATGGAGATGTGGTTCACGTGGTAGAATACTAGCCTTGAGTAAAGCTAAAGGAAGCAGGGCACCTGTGGCTCACGCTATAATCCTAGCTACTCAGGAGGCTGAGATCTGAGGAGCATGGTTCAAAGCCAGCCTGGGCAGGAAAGTCCCCATGGGACTCTTAACCACTGGAAAATTGAACATGGTGCTGTGGCTCAAAGTGGTAGAGCACTAGGCTTGAGCAGAAGAGCTCAGGGACAGCACCCAGACCCACACTGACAAAAAAAAAGCTAAAGGAAGGAGCAAGAACTCTGCCCTTGAGTTCAAGCCCAGGTACACGCACACACACACACACACACACACACACACACACATGCACACACAAACACACACACACACACACTCAGAACTCTGAGCCAAAGGTTCTATAATCAGAACCTCTTACCATCAGAGGCCAATCTGGATTTCTTAGGAGACTCTGTTTCAAAACAAAAAAGAAAAGGCAAAACCAAAATCAAATACAAAAGAACTCTTTTATTTTTATTGTTATTATAAAGGTGATATACAGAGGGGTGACAGGACATAAGTCAGGTAAAGAGTGCATTTCCTTTTAGACAATGTCACCCTTTGCCTTGCTCTCTCCCAGTGTTCCCCTCTGGTCCCCACCCACAACTGAAGAACTCTCTGGGTTTTCAGAAGGGATGGATTCCAATCAGGGTTGGAACGAAACATTTACAATGGAGAAGGCTCAAATCCAGAATATGCCAAAACCAACTACAGGTTGACAAGAAAAACAAACACGATCCAATGAAAAATGGGCCCCAAAGACCTCAGCCAATGTCCCCCCCCCCCGCCCCGGGGTTGTTCAAGTAGGCTGACAAACTCATGAGAAGACAGGTGTTACCATTCCTTTTCTGGGCTCTACAACTGAGCAGGCAATACAGTAACACAACACCTCACCAGTGTGGTTAGAGAGGTCAGGGCTGTGGGCCATGGGGTGGCCCTGCTGTGTTCCTGAAGATTGAATATATCACCATGGAAGTCTGGCACCTCTGCGGTGAAGCACAGGAGCAGCCGCAGCCCAGCAGCTCCAGCCCTGGTATTTGCTTTTTTAAAAAAATGGCTTATATTTACCCACAGATATGGCCCAAAATCTTTGTGAGCCTTCTTCTTTTTCCACTACTGGGGTTTGAACTCAGGGCCTTGTGCATACCAGGCAAACACTTCACTACTTGAGCCACACCCCTAACTCTCTCCCCCCTAAACTCCTCCCCCTTTTTTTGGTTTAATTTTTAAGTTTGCTTTTGAGATATGGTCTCACTAACTTGGTGTAGGCTGGCCATGAACTCAAGATTCTCCTGCCCTCCACCTCCAGAGTAACTAGGATTTCAGGCATGCACTACCATGTCCGGCTAGTGATGAGTTCTTAAGAGCCCAAATCCCAGAAATCCAAGTCATTAATTGGGTCAACGAGAAGTCATTCACGGAAACGAGGAGGAAGGAGACACTTTGTGCTCTAATAATGGTGTCTTTCCTACACTTTCTCCATCTCTCTCCCTCTCATAAGTGAGATAGCATCTTCTGATGAGTGTGTAGCTCAAGAAGGAAGTTCAGCTCTTCAATCAGTTGTTTTTTTAAAAGCATGGCTGTTAGTGTCTAGTTTAAGAACTCTTCTCCCAGCCTAAGGTCATGGGCATATTCTCTGGTGCTCTATGAGCTTTTCTCATTTCATATTTCACACGCAGGTCTAGTCCATCTACAAAAGAATTAGTCTAGAGTGTGTGGCTGGGCTATCAAGTCACCCTTGACTCATTTGTTGAAAAGTCTGGCTCTTCTCCGGGAAATCCCAGGGGTGATTTCTTAGAAACAGGTGATCAGATGCCTTTGATTGTTGGCATCAGCTGACATGTGATTGTTGGTGGGTGTTCTCAGGTTGTACAAGGTCTGTACAGTTGGCTTGTCTACCAATAGTCCATGTGAGCGCTGGTCTCCACTCTGTGTTACAGCCATTCCAGAGGTCGGGATGTCATCGTTATCTGTGTTTGCTTTTATTTGTGACTGTTGCTGTGGTCTTTCACTCACCTTTCTGGTCCCAAGACAGTACCCCCATGTATTGGATTTGTCATTATTAGTGGTAGAATAGCCTACTCTTTCTTTTTCACCTTCCCTTCCTCCCTCCTTCCCTAGTCTCCCTCCCTCCCTAGTAATGTTGGGTATTAACCTCAGGCACTCTACCTCTAAGGCCCACCACCAGCCCTTTTTGCTTTCCTTTTTCAGCTGTGGTCTGCTTTTGCCCCAGTTGGCCTGTGAGCCTCCTACCTATTCTTCCATTGTATCTGTGATCACAGGTGTGCACCATTATGCCCAGCCTCCAGCCCCATTTGTCCGTCCATCTTCCTTCCTTCCTTCCCTCCCTCTTCCCTTTCCCCTTCCCCTACTCCTTCCCTCCCCTTCTCTTCCTTTCCCTTCACTTTCCCTCCCTTTTCCTCCTCTCTTCCTTTCCCTTCCCTTCTTCTCCCTTTCCCTCCTCTCCCTTCCCCTCCCCTCTCTGCTCCTCCTCTCCCCTCCCCCCCTCCCCTTTCTCATTTCTTTCTCTGCCTGGATTTATTTCTCCCCTCCAGATACATTCTTTTTTTTGGGGGGGGGTCCAGTCGTGGGGCTTGAACTATGGGCCTGGGCGCTGTCCCTTTTGAGCCACAGCACCACTTCCGGCTTTTTTTTTTTTTGCTTAAGTGGTGCTGAGGAATCGAACCCAGGGCCTCAGGCATGCAAGGCAAGCGCTCTACCACTGAGCCACCTTCCCAGCCCTCCCCTCCAGATACATTCTTGAACCACCCAGCCAGGTTCCATAGTTAAGTCATACTGGGACTTCACTTGGGATTGTGGTGAAATGCCGCTTAGTGTCCAGGGTGAACAGGGCAGGGATTGTCTATGTTTTACAGATGAGAAAATCCATGGCAGGAGAGGGGCAGGGACCGGCCCAGGGCTGCATGTGTGGGGAGAAGGGCAGACAGAGGGTCTTACCATCATCTGCTAGACCAGTGAGATCTAGCATTTGCTCGTCAAGTGAGGAGGGACCTGGCAGGTGGGCGTGTCCAACCAGGAGCTAGATGGAGGTGGGCCCTCGGGGCTCTCCCAGGGCAGGGCTTGCAGTGTGACCGCACCAAAGGTGCCCCAAACAGGTGCGTGGTGTGAGTCTCGGCCTGGCCTCTCCATGCCCCTCCTCCCCCCTTCCCCCGTGCGCAGACAAGGGGATGTAGCCCTGCCGCCCTACTACCAGCCTGAGGAGGACGACGAGATGCCCTTCATCTGCTCCCTGTCGGGGGACAACGGCATCATGGGCTGTCAGGAGATCCCCCCGCTCAAGGAGCAGGGCCGAGAGTGCTGCCTGTCCAAGGATGACGTCTACGACTTCGGGGCGGGCCGCCAGGACCTCAACGCCAGCGGCCTGTGCGTCAACTGGAACCGCTACTACAACGTGTGCCGCACGGGCAGCGCGAACCCGCACAAGGGCGCCATCAACTTCGACAACATCGGCTACGCCTGGATCGTCATCTTCCAGGTGAGGGACGCCTGCCCAGCCTGGGCTTGTGTCGGCAGAGGCCCCGAGGTTCCCAGAGGAGACGGGTGCCAGGCGGCCGAGCGTCACACACTGCTAAATGGAGTTTTGCCCCACTTAGGCCGACCCCAAAGCCTGGAGGTCCAGGGGGTCTTGCAGGGAGATCTGTTCAGAGAGCAGATGAGATTTTTGGAGGGGCACAGTCCAGATAGAGTCGGGTCCGTGGAAGGTGAGGAGGGAGAAGGGCATTCCTAGAGGGGGTGACAGCTGGGGTACAGGCCGAGAGACTGGGGCACTGAGCTGGTCTCACAGGAAATCCCTTCTGCACGGAGACCCTGCTTCCTCCTCCCCCTGCACTCTGCAGACAGGGTGGGGTTTGACAAGGGAGCTAGGGGGTGGAAGACTTTGGGGGTGTCATTTAACCCCTCTGGGCCTCACTTCTCATCTTTGTGAGGGTGAGCAGTCTGCAGACGCGAGGTGAGGGCTCAGTAGAAGCCATGCACCTGCTGTCCTCAGAAGGATCTGGGCAGGAGCCTGCGGAGGAGGGGAGCCCAAAAGCCACTGAGGAGGGGAGTAGGGGTTCAGAGGACTGGGAGCTGCTCGGCTCAGCTCAGCTCCTGGGGCTACTGCTCTGATCCTTTGTCCCGAGTGCACAAGGGAGTTCTCTGCCTCTGTTTCTCCCCAGGCTCCCTCATGTTCCTTTCTGGAAGGATCCTGGGGTGGAGGATGGGCAGAGAGACTGTCATAGCAACCTTAACCAGCCCCCACTCCCTGCTCAGCCAAGCCGCACCCGGCCCTGCTAGGGGCTCTGTCATCCTGCGAACTGAAGAAGCCAGTGGGGCCCAAGGGGGAAAGTGGCCCAATTAGTGAGCCTGAGCCTAAGCTCAGAGATCCTTGCTGTGCTAGTCCCCCTCTCCACCTCCCTTGGGGTTGTGGCCCGGGAGTGGGTGGGCTCTGGTGGAGCAGGGGTGAGTCTGGCCCTCCTGTTCCTTGGGGATGAAACTGCCATGTGTAGTGAGTCCCAGCACATAGTAAGGCCTCAATGTGAGCTGCTCCCTGGCTGGCTGCCATTCCCCGGGGCCAGGGCCTCAGGCTCGGTGCTCTCCCCCTGCAGGTGATCACGCTGGAAGGCTGGGTGGAGATCATGTACTACGTGATGGATGCGCACTCCTTCTACAACTTCATCTATTTTATTCTGCTCATCATAGTAAGTGTCGGGGAGCTGGGGCTCAGGGCATGCTCGGGAGGCCCCTGGGGGACAGGGAACGGAGGAGGGACGGGTCCTCGGGGAGCCCTCCGCAGAGCAGGGGGCGAGGGAGGCAGCGAGAAGCATGCTTTTTAATGCAGCTGACCAGCCGGTGATGGAAGGGGCTCTTCAGGGTGGCCGTTGGAAGCATCCATCATTTTCGATTGCCTTCATTTTTCATTTCTAGACATTTTCGTCCAGCCGCTTGCTTCTGCTTATCTTTCTCTGCTCGTATCTCTAGGAATACATTCTTGTTGTGACCTTAGCTGGGGGTGCAGCCCCAGTATGGAGTCTCCAGGGCTTGGGGCTTGTCCCTGTGAGGACAAGAGTGTCTGAAAGCCCGGGGCTGCTCTGGAGTCAGAGATGGAGAGAGGAGGTCAGCCCTAGGGGCGGCCTCCCTGGAACATTTGATGGTCTCTTGCTTCTTAGGAAAGCATGGGGGGGGGCTTTGCGCTTGGAGCCGTCAGAGTGGGTGATTGATGGGTGAACTCGTGAATGAATGCATGCGTGAATGAATGCATGCGTGAATGAATGGTAGATCTAGAGGGCTCTATCCACCCTTCCAGGCCCAGCCCCTCCTGCCTCCCCCCACACAGTCCCCAGAGCCAGCGCATCTTCCCGTCATGCCTGACTGCAGCTTCAGACATGGCACAGTTCCCATTTGTGCCGGTGATTCACTCTGGGGGACAGCCGTCTTTCTCCCTGCCGGAGCGAGGCCAGCATCTCCCGCTTCCTGGTGGTGGGTGAGGGCATGTTCTGCCCTCTGGGGTAGTGCCCCATCCCCAGCTTGTGGACCTCGGACGGGGGTGGGGAGTGAGGGCAAGCTGACGGCTGACCCGAGATGCACCTGCTGTTAGCAGAGCTCCAGTGCGCGTCAGGCCGTGGGGTGATGCTGCTGATAAAAGGGAGAAGGGTCCAGCTGTTGTTCAGCATTGCCATCCATTCACTCCCAGAAACTTCAGGAAAGCCGGCACTGCACCCAGCTTGAGCCCAGTGCCGGGAGCAGCTTCAGGGCTCGGCATGGCAGAAGGACGAGCAATGACCACCCAGGGCCTTAAGTGCTGGATAGAAGGGAGCCCCAGAGGCTGAGGGGTCCACAGGAGGCCCCTCAACCATTCGGGGGGGCTTCCTGGAGGAGGCAGCGCTAGAACTGAGCCTTAATGGGTAAGGCTCCCCTCTCCTCACCATGGAAGAGCCTGAAGTCAGGGTCACCCACAGAGTGGGTCAGCGTCCCATGAAAGGGAAGCAGAGGCCTCTGGGATTGCGAGAGGACTCCCTGGGTTCCAGAGGGGCTGGAGAAGGCTCTGTCTGCTTCTGCTGGTTGACTGAATGAATGGAGCCTGAGCCAGGCACTGGTGGCTCACACAAGTAATCCCAGCTGAGATCTGGGGTTCATGGTGAGGGCCAGTCCGGGCAGAAAAGTCCACGAGACTTAGCTCCAATTAACCAGTGAAGAGCTGGAAGTAGAGCTATGGCTCAAGTGGTAGAGCTTCACTCTTGAGCAAAAAAAGCTGTGGCAGACCCTGAGTTCAAGGCCTGGTACACACACACACACACACACACACACACACATTTTTTTCTCTCTCTCTCTCTTCCTTCCCACTCTCTCTAAAGAATAGTCTGGAATTCTTAAGTAACTCCTATGTCCCCACAGTCTACATGAAATAGGGATCTAGATTCTGGACTCTGAGTACTCAGTAAGTGCTCAATAAACATACTCTGCTGTTTTTCTTGCTACCTTGTTGGGTCCTGATTGGCTTTGCCCAGAACAGGAGGTTCCAGGAGAGCCGAGGATGCTGAGTTTACTGGTGCTGGCGGGTCCAGGGGGCCCATCCGAACAAACACACTGGCCAAGCAGGTTCACCTGCCTAGACCTCAGAGGCAGGGTACCTGGCCTGGGCCACGCAGCTGGTGGGGGTCTTTGGTCCTTGGCTGCAGTACCCACTGCCCCATTCTGATCAGAAAAGTCCTCCGCTTATCTTACCCTCCCTGGACGCAGTGGCCATGCCCCAGATGGCGGTGGCTGTGGTTTGGGGCTTGGCTTAGAAGCAGCTCTGACGGGGCCTGGGGAGCTGCCTGGGCCTTTCTGTGGAGCAAAGCCTCAGAGATCTTTTCCTGTCCCCGTCTGTGTCTGTGCCTCTGTGTCTCTGGGCCCCTCTCCCCTCCCTTGCTCCTCCGCTGTCTCCACCTGCGAACTCCGCACCCACACCCTTGGATTCTGTCCTCCCTGAGCCCCCTTCTCCACCCATTGTCCTCTTGGTACCCCTGGCTCTCTCTCGCTGCCTGTCTCCCTGCTCTGCCCTATTTCTCTCTTTCACATCTCTGATCTGTCCTTACCCCTCTTCTTTCCCCCATTTCCACCTCTGCCTCGTGTCATTCTCCATGTCCTATGACCCCCTTCTTTACCTCTGCCTCCCTCACCCCACTGTCCCCTCTGTCCCTGTCCTTTCCTCCTGCTGGTCACAGGTGGGCTCCTTCTTCATGATCAACCTGTGCCTCGTTGTCATAGCAACCCAGTTTTCCGAGACCAAGCAGCGGGAGCACCGGCTGATGCTGGAGCAGAGGCAGCGCTACCTGTCCTCCAGCACCGTGGCCAGCTACGCCGAGCCCGGCGACTGCTACGAGGAGATCTTCCAATACGTGTGCCACATCCTGCGCAAAGCCAAGCGCCGGGCCTTGGGCCTCTATCAGGCCCTGCAGAGGCGGCGTCAGGCCCTGGGCCCAGGGGAACCAGCCCCTGCCAAGGCCGGGCCCCACACCAAGGAGCCCAGGCACTACAGTAAGTGCCTCCCCCTCCCCCCAAGACTGGCAGTGCCACCAACTGGGGACTCAGAATGGACCATGAGTCTCACCATCACTAGAGAGTAGAGTGCTTGCCTGGCATGCATGAAAGCTGTGGCTTCGATTCCTCAGCACCACATAAACAGAAAAAAGCTGGAAGTGGTGGTGCTGTGATTCAAGTAGAGAGGACTCTGGTGGACTCAGGTTTCCAGAACTTTTCTTCAGATGTGGGTGTTTTATGGGAGTTCCAGGCCTTGTTCTGCTTTCCTGTCTCTTGCTCCAGCCAATTCTGGCTGGCTGGCTGGGGCCTTGGCCTCCGACCTGGAGGAATTCACTTCCAGGGAGTCCATGGAGCCACTGAAAAACATGCGATGATCTTTTCTTTGGCCTTTAGTGCAGCCCTTCTGGCTTCAGACTGCATGGCCCTGCTGTGGCTCCTCTGCTGCCCCTGCTTACCAGAATGCTGGGCACTGAGGATCATGACCTTTCTCCCCAAAGGCCTGGTGTGTCAGGATAATCTGCACCCAGCGTTTTGCCCCTGCCACTAGGCTATTTCTCGTACTGAGCGTGACCAGCTTGTTTCTGGGGGGTTCTGGTTCAGGATAGGGTGCCCCTGGAGTGCATTTGGGCTATGAAGCAATCCTGAGAAAGGGGGCTGCACTGCTCATATCATTCCCAACTTTCAGATGAAAAAACTAGGGTGCAAATGAGATGAGCGTGTCACGGAAGGTGGCCCAGTGCATCAGTGGCACAGCTCTGTCACCCTGGGCTGCCAGGGGTGCTGGGGCTTTGCTGAGTGTCTGCCTCTAGCTTAGAGGCCAATGTACCCAACCCTAGGAGGAGGCCACTCAGAGCTCCAGGGCGAAGCCAGGGCCAGCCTGCTTCCTCCCAGTTGGTGCTGAGGACATCGGCTGTCACCCAGCTGTTCCCTGGAGCGGCTGCGGCGTGTGGCGTGCTGTTCCCTGCGTGGCCCCCTCTGCAGGGCTCCAGCAGCGATCCTGAGCCACAGGAGTTCCGAGCCCCAGGCTGCACCCCAGCTCTCTCATTCTGGGAGTCTGGGAGGCCAGCAGGAAAATTCCTTCTCAGAACTGCCACCCACTGTCCTTCAAGCTAGCTGTCCAGGCCTGGCCTTGGAGGACCCCTGGCTGGCCCAGCAGGTGGATGGTAGGGGGTCTGGGGTGTTTATTTCGAGGGCTTCCCGCTGATCCCATCCCTTCTTCCTGTGTGAGGCCCCTCCTCCCCCACCTCTGTCCTCCACTGTGGGAGCAGTGAGGCAGGACCGGGGAGGGCTTTGACCTGGCCTCTAGGGCCGAGGCAGCTTCTGGGCTTCTGGTTACAGAGTGTGAATGAGTCCGGGAGCTCTGACTGAGGCTTGGGGACATCTGGAGGCTAGTGTGTACTGAAGCGTGGACATCACAGTCTTTTCTTTCTCTTTGACACTACTTTTTTTTTTTGCTTACACAAGCAAAATGTGTTTATTTTGGGAAAAACATAAAGAAGCCAAACCAATCAAGCCTCTGTGAAACCTCCCTGTGCTGGCTGGCAGATCACAGCACTAGAGTTCAAGGCCAGCCTAGCTTCTCAGCGATTCCCAGGTGGTGGGAGGGTGGAAGCCACGCCCCCGGGGGAGTGGACAGGGTGACGCCCCCTGAGTGCCCTGGTGAAGATGGAGGCTACAACCCAGCAGGCCCTGGAGAGGGTGGAAGCCACACCCCCCTAGGCAGTGGTGAGGATAAGGCCACACCCCCCTGTGGGCCTCAGGCTCCCCTCCCTCTGACTGTCAAATGCTGTGTGGAGGGAAGTCCTGGGGCTTGGGGCTCAAGGTCACCTGCCTTCTCCATTCTCCACACAGGCGGGGAGCTTAGGAAGGTCAGAGCTCCTCTAAGGAGTGTCCATTTTCTTTCTTTTTTTTTTTTGCAGTCCTGGAGCTTGAACTCAGGGCCTGAGCACTGTTTCTGAGCCTCTCTGTGCTCATGACTAGCCCTTGACAGCTTGAGCCACAGCGCCACTTCCAGCTTTTTCTGTTTATGTGGTGCTGAGGAATTGAACTCACAGCTTCATGCATGTTAGGCAAGCACTCTACCACTAAGACACATTCCCAGCCCCAGGGCGTCCATTTTCTATAAGAGCTTGGCTCTGTCACTATACAGGGCCAATGCCTGAAGAGAGGATGCTACTTCCCCAGGGAAGACCAGGCCCCTCTTGGTGGGGCTGGCTTGTTCTGGGCAGACCCTGTGGGTCTCCAGAGCGTTGGTTGGGTCTGGTATGGAACTGATGCTTTCTCTCTCTCTCTCTTGCTTTCTCTCTCTCTCTCTCTCTCTCTCTCTGTGTGTGTGTGTGTGTGTGTGTGTGTGTGTGTGTGTATGTGTGCATGCTGGTATAGGAGTTTGAATTCAGTGCCTGGGCCCTGCCCCTTAGCTTTTTGGCTCAAGGATGGCACTCTGCTTCACTTCTGGCTTTTTGCTGATTAATTGGAGGCAAGAGTCTCATAAACCTTTTCTGCCTAGGCTGGCTTCAAGCTGTGATCCTCAGATCTCAGCATGGTGAGTAGCTGGGATTGTAGGCGTGAGCCGCCAGCGCCTGGCTTTGATGCTGCCCTCTGTTTGCTTTTCAGAGCTGTGCCCGCGGCACAGCCCCTTGGACCCAACTCCTCACACGCTGGTGCAGCCCGTGTCCGCCATGCTGGCCTCTGACCCTGCCCACTGTCCACGCTGCCTGCAGGAGGCAGGCCGGCGACCCTCAGGCCTGGGCAGCACCGACTCCGGCCAGGAGGGCTCAGGAAGTGGGGGCTCTGGAGAGGCGGAGGCTGATGAGGATGGGCCCCAGAGCAGCGAGGATGGGGCTTCCTCAGGCCTGGGGAAGGAGGATGAGGAGGAGCAGCCAGACGGGGCGGCCTGGCTGTGCAGGGGCGTGTGGCGGGAAACGCGAGCCAAGCTGCGGGGCATCGTGGACAGCAAGTACTTCAACCGGGGCATCATGATGGCCATCTTGGTCAACACCGTCAGCATGGGCATCGAGCACCACGAGCAGGCCAGTGTGGTGGAGTGCTGGGCTCGGGCTACCAGAGGGTGGAGGGGCGGCCATCCAGGCCTAGGCCCAGCTGGGCCCACGTGTCTGTGTGTCTGTCTACTTGCCCCTGGCTGAATTTAGTCCCCTGTGTCCCTCAGTGCCCAGTCCAGGGCCATGCTTCAGCTAAGGGGGAGCAGTTCTGCAGGGTGAGTTGGGGAATAAGAATGAGGGGGGCCAGTCCTTTGCACCCTATGTGGCACAGATGTCCCCAGTCTATAGGCCACTTCTGGGGTGACAGTCTGATGAGGCGTCTGACTTGAGCCCCTCACAGACAGTCAGGGGCTGGTTTGAATCCATCTTCGTGTTAAGACAGACATCTGACACGGTTTGCGTTTCTAGAATCCCTTGGCTTAGCTTGGCTTCTGTCCGTGAGACCCTGCTCTGTGCCCAGTGAGGGCCGCATGCTCACTCCTCGTTCATCGGCTTTCCAGGCACGGGTTCTATTCAATTTCCTGGAATTCGGCCCCTGGGGTGCTGCTGGTCCATCAGCCATTCTGACTTAATTAAAAAGGTCCTCTGGGGGGCAGGGGGGACGGCTCTGTGCAGGGTGAAGCTTGTAAGACAGGCTGCCCAGACCCCCTCTCCCACAGGCGCCAGCCAGCCACGGCACACCCACCATCGCCGTGTTGCCATGTCTGAACCCCGCTGTACCAGAGCTGGGTACTGCCCGTGGCTTGTTGGAGCCAGCTGGAGAGAGCCAGCTTTCTCGTGTGAGGATTTTACAAGCAGTTGTTAAACTATGGAGGAAGTATTTACACCATGGAAATTGGCAGATGCTATAAGTTGGGCCGTTTCTTCACAGACCATTGTGTTAGCACAATGCAGGGTCCTGCTTCCCTGAACCCCCTCCGGGGCAGCCCACAGTGAGGGAAGCTCAGCCTTAGGGCTGGCCGTGGTCCTTGCCAGGCTCCAAGGCTGGCCCTTTCACAGCTGGCCACATTCTGTAGGAGCTGTCTGTCTGTCTGTCTACCCTCCCCCCTCCCTCCTTCTCTCCCTCCCTCACATCTGGCCACATTCTGCAGGAGCTGTCTGTCTGTCTGTCCACCCTCCCTCCCACCCTCCCCACCTGCCTTCCTTCCTTCCTTCCTGAATTGGGGCTTGAGCACAGGGCTGGGGCACTGTCCCTGAACTTTTTTACTCCAGGCTGGCACTCTACCACTTGAGCCACAGTTCCATTTCTGCCTTTTTGGTGGTTAATTGGAGAGAAGAGTCTCACAGACTTTACTGCCTGGGCAGGCTTTGAACCATGATCCTGTGTAGGATTGCAGGTGTGAGCTGCCAGCATTCATTTGAACCCAGAATCGGGTGGGACCTCTTCCCTCTGGGTAGCAGTCAACACATGGTACTGGAGTCGTCTCTTTCGGTGGCCCCCATTATGCCCCATGGATGGTCCATGCTGACTTCTGCCCTCTCCTTCTTAGGGATGGGAAACTATTGACTGAGCAGCTACTGAGCGCCAGGCCCTGACTGAGCCTGGGTCCCTGGGTTCTCACAAGGGCCCCTCTAGCAGGTGCCATCCCCTCCCCTCCCAGCCTCCCACTTATAGGGCAACAGGGAGGCCACGCCCCTGACTCAAGGTCTGTGGGTGATCCCCTCCCCCCAGAGGGGCTGGGAAGGCCAAGTGCCTTCGGGAGGTTCTCATGACTCAGTCATGACCGGCGAGACTTTTGTTGGAGCCTTCTGCCACCAGCCTGGGGTGAGTTTACCATCCGCTGTCTGGAGCTGCAAAAATTAATTAGTTAAAGAAAAAGTGAGGAGGAGGAAGCATTTTTGAAATGTTCTTTTTAAAGCAGCTCCGAGTGGCAGCCATTGTTTGGTGAAGCTCTGTGCAGGGCCCTGCTGGTATTTTTGCTTCCCAGACATGGCTCAGCAGGAACCGATCCACCCCCAAGTTTATTTTGAGCATCCCCCGCTGAGGTGGCACCCACAGAGAGAGGTAGCCCAGGGCCGCCAAGGGGGCATAGGGAGAGGAGGGAGAGGAGGGCCGGGGGTTGGGGGGGCAGGTGAACCACACAGCATCCCCCCTGCTCCTGTCTGCAGTGGGAATGGATGACTGGCAGGCCCTGCTGATCAGGACGGGACTTGGTAGGCTGGGGGGAGGGAGGGGTGTTCACTCTTTTCCTCCTAAGCTGCACCCTGGGCCACCCCTGGGTGACAGCCTGGCTGACATATCCTGACGCTATTTGGAAAATGCTTTCTCTCTTCTGGTGTACCCCTGGTGGTCCCATGTCTCCTCCTGAACTTACCTTGGCCTGGACCTGGAGGATGGTCAAGGTTGAGGATGAAAAGTGGAGGCTGGGCTGAACGGGCAGCCGGCCAGGGTGCAGGGCCTCTCCCTGGGATAGAGCTCACCCCGGCCAGCTCAGGGCCCACGTCAAGACCACAAAACAGGCAGGGGTTCCGCCCACTTCATTCTCCTTTCTGGAGCCCCTGTCCCGTCACTGCCAGCCCAGGTGCAGGGTGACTGGGCGCAGGAAGGTGGGCTGCCTTAGTGGCTGACTTTTTTTTTTTTTTTCCTGGCCATTGGGTTTGAACTCAGGGCCTGGGCGCTGTCCCTGAGCTCTTTTTGCTCAAGGCAAGCACTCTACCACTTTGAGCCACAGTGGCACTTCCGGTTTTTTGGTGGTGTATTGGAGATAAGAGTCTTACAGACGTTCCTGTCAGGGCTGGCTTTGAACTAGGATTCTCAGATCTCAACCTCCTTAGTACCTAGGATTATAGGCGTGAGCCACCAGTGGCCCAGCAGTGGCTAAAATTTGAACCCTGGAGGGGTTCAAGGAACAGAGGCATGGAAGTGGGCTGCAGTCAAGGGAGGCTTCCTGGGGGCTGTGGCACCAGAGATGAATTCCCCAAGGAATGAGTTCATCAGTGAGACAGACAGCTTGGACATCCCCATGGACCCCGAGGCTGGAAGAATATGTGCACAGGGCAGGGCAGACAGGAGGACAGGACGGCCGTTCATTCCCAGTGACCTTGAGGCCTGTGCTTTCTGTGTGTCCGTCCCCTTCTGGCCAGGTCTCTGGCTACTATAGTCCTAGTGCTATGTCATCTCAGTTCTTTTCCTCTTCTTTCTCTTCTTCTTCCTCCTCTTGTTTTAATGTCCATTGGTGTTTTTCTCTGTGTGTCTCTGAGTCTCTGTGCTCTGTCTTTGCTGCCTGAATCTCATGCTCATGTCTGTCTGTCTCTGCCCATCTCTCTGTGCATCTGTCCAGGCCCTTTCATACCCTCCCTCCTCAGCCTCTCACTGGCCATGTCTATGTGCATCTGTCTGCTGCTTTCCAGCCTGCCTCCCTCCCAGAGAAATACCTTGGGGAGTGATGGACGGTCCATTAGGAGAAGAGTAACAGGTGTGCAGTGCCTGGAGCGGCAGCTGCTGCGGGGGCGGGGAGCCAGCGGTGACCTTTCGGGGAAGCAGCGGCTCCCTCGCTGCACTGACGGCAGATAGCAGGAGTGTGTGCACCGGCTGTGCGTGGCCCAGGGCCGGGCCAGGCCCTCCTGAGCTGTCAGCGCCCATGGACGTGGTTTGTGTGGGCTGGGAACACCGAGCAGGGTCTGAGCCCTCCCTGTGAGGCCCCTCTGGGGCCCCCCACTCCCCTTTTGGGACCATTTTGTGTCAAATGTAATTACAGATGGAGATGGCTTTTCCCTTTTCATCTGGGCTTGCGAGGAGCTGGCAGCTATGAGATTTCCTACGCACCAGGTGGAAATCTGGGGGCTGGGTAGTTTTCTTCCTCTTTAAAGCCACATGGAACCCAAGTCAGCCCTAGCTTCCTGCTGCTCCCTGTAGAAGGGCTGAGCCTGGCCCAGGGGAGCGGGCCCACTGTGGTCCTGGCCTCTCACCTTGCAGCCTGCGCTATGCTGGGCTCCGAGCACCCTTGCTGCTCCCCTGTCACCAACTGTCTTCTTAGATCTCTGCTAAGATGGCGCTTCCTTCAGGAGTTCTCTGGGCTTCCTGACAACTCCTTCACCTGCCCTCTGTGGCCCTGTTGCCCTGGGTGCTGGCCTGCTTTGTTAGTGTGGCTTGTGGGGCTTTGCCGCCAGCTGTGAGCTGCTCTATTTCAGTAGCAAAGCCCAGAGCATTGCAGGAAGACCCCATAGGTCTTCCAAGGGAAGATGTGAATGGTGAATAGATGAATGAATGAGTGAACGAGTGGGTGGGTGGGTGGGTGAATGAGTGGCTGAGTAGAGCGAGAGAGTGAGTGAGTGGGTGGGTGAGAGTGAACGAGTGAGTGAATGAGTGAATGGCTGAGTCAGCAAGTAAGTGAATGAGTGAGTGAGTGGGTGAGTGGATGAGTTAATGAATGAGTGAGTGAATGAATGGATGAATAAGTGAGTGAGTGAGTGGATGAGTTAATGAATGAGTGAGTGAATGAATGAATGAGTTAATGAGTGAGTGAATGACTGGGAGAGCTCAGGTGTGGCTTCAGTCTGTAATGGCACAGCAGCTTGGAGTCTGACTTGGATGAGTACCCAGCCCTGCTACCTTCCTGCAGGGTGGCCTGAGCAGGTCAGTCCGTGTTGCCCAGCCTGTTTGCTAGCCTATTCAGGGAAGGCCAGCAGTGGACTTGCAGTGGCCAGGCTCAGTCCCGTGTCAGGCGTCAGGGTCAGCGAGGGACTCGTGGTCAGGGAGGGACACATGCCCTTTCTTCTCCAGGATTCAGTCAAGCTGCACCACCATGAGCACCAGGCAGACCCTTCCTGGGATAGCAGAGAGGCCACGGAGGGAAGAGAAGGGGCTGGAGCCTCAATACCCTTAGTGAGGGGCTTGGTGTGACCCCCTGCTATGGATGAGGAAAGGAAGGCGCAGCAGTGGAGGGGACTCGCCCTTTGCAAGTCACCATCTGCTGCTAGAAACCAGGAGGCAAACAGCCCCAGGGCAGAGGAAGTCTGCAGCTGCCTATGGAGTGGGGGGCGGATACGACACTGGCAGCTTCGGGCCTTCCCGCGACCTCCTGGGGTCCCAGCGTCCTCTGGGAGCCATCGTGGCAGTGTTCTGTGTGTGGGCCGTGCCTGGCAGGCAGCAGGCGCCCTGCCTGTGCCCTTTCCTCATGGGCGCGGTGTGAGATGGCCCGAGAGTTTACACAGTGATGGCTGAGGCAGTACCCTCAGCATGAGTTTAGGGAAGCGTGGCCCCAAGAGTGTCCCCACCCCCAGTGGACCTTGTAGGAAGGACCCTGAGGGGTCAGAGCTGAGAGGAGGTGACAGGATGACAGGAGATAACAGCCAGGACCCAGACCCGCAGGGTTACGCTTCCCCTTCTCCAATGTTCCCACAGCCAGAGGAGCTGACCAACGTCCTGGAGATCTGCAATGTGGTCTTCACCAGCATGTTCGCCCTGGAGATGATCCTGAAGCTAGCTGCCTTCGGGCTCTTTGACTACCTGCGAAACCCGTACAACATCTTTGACAGTATCATCGTCATCATCAGGTACCTCCTCACCCGCTCTGCAGCTGAGGAATGGGGTCAAGCAGTGACCCCAGACAGTACAGAAAAGTGGCCAAGGAAGCGAAACACACTCTGCACACATCTTCATTGATTTTGTGCCATTACTGGGGCTTCAACTCAGGGTCTTTCGCCTCACACTCTTGTTTGGCTTCCTGTGCTCAAAGCTGGTGCTCTACCACTTGAGACACAGCTCCACTTCTGGCTTTTTTTTTGCTGATTAATTGAAGAGTCTCAGGCACTTTTCTAATGAGGCTGGCTTCAAACTTCGATCCTCAGATCTCAGCCTCCTAGGTAGCTAGGATTACAGGTGTGAGCTACCAGCACCCAGCCCAAATATATATAGGCATAGATATAGCTATAGATATAGATAGGTGTGTGTGTGTGTGTGTGTGTGTATAAACTGGTGATTTAGCTTCTGGATGGATGTGTTAAATAGCAAGATGTCAGCAATGGGTTTAGACCATCATTCCAAAGAAGATCTGTGCATAAAAAATACTTAGAAATAGCTGCATCAACTGTCATGTGACAGGAAGGTATCAACTATTTCAATTGCCCACAGAGCCATAGGTATGCTAATTCTGAGGCTTATTCATAATCAAAAGAAGCATAAAATCTCAAAAAGAGGACAGTGACATTCACTGAGCTTCCTAGATTTTAGCCACTGGTGTGTGTGTGTGTGTGTGTGTGTATCTGTCCATGGACTCCACTGGTGTGTGTGTGTGTGTGTGTGTGTGTGTGTGTATATCTGTCCATGGACTCCACTGGTGTGTGTGTGTGTGTGTGTGTGTGTGTGTGTGTGTATCTGTCCATGGACTCCAGGCGCTGGTTTAGGGGTGCAGTCAGCAGCATCTGGTGCATCATTTGTTGGATGAATGAATGAATGAGCTGAAGCTCTTGTCTGTTCATACTTCCATCTTTCTGATTCTGCCTCCCTCTCCTTCTGGTCTCCCACTGACCTCCTCCTGCCTCCCTGATTCTTGTATATCCACGCCCCACACACAGCATCTGGGAGATCGTGGGGCAGGCAGACGGCGGGCTGTCGGTGCTGCGTACGTTCCGGCTGCTGCGGGTGCTGAAGCTGGTGCGTTTCATGCCCGCGCTGCGACGCCAGCTCGTGGTGCTCATGAAGACCATGGACAACGTGGCCACCTTCTGCATGCTGCTCATGCTCTTCATCTTTATCTTCAGGTGAGCTACACCTGTGGGGATGGTGGCTGGCAGAAGATCCCAGGGACAAACTCACCTGGGTCTGTGTGTGGGTCCTGGTGCCAGCATTCTATCCTGATGGCTCTGGGGAAGGTCCTCCCCACCCCAGCCTCAGTATTCCTGTCTACAAAATGGGAAGATGGGACTAACGTTGCCTCCCCCCCCTCACCCCACTGAGTCGTCCTGAGAACGGGCAGGCAGCTCAATGCGCAGTTGCACTGCACCGGTTTGAGCTTGGTGCGCATGTGCCCCTTGACCCTCCTCTGAGCTCAGAGAACTTGCACCCTGCACCTTGTGAACTCTCCTTCCCTGCCTCCCACAGCATCCTCGGGATGCACATCTTTGGTTGCAAATTCAGCCTGCGCACAGACACGGGAGACACAGTCCCAGACAGGAAGAACTTCGACTCCCTGCTGTGGGCCATTGTCACGGTGTTCCAGGTGAGAGGCTGGAGCCTTGCACCCTTGTGTTTCTGGTTAAACCATCCTGGACAGCAGGCTTGGGAGGGCTGAAGTGACTCAGGCTGGGTCTGGGCCGGGGGGGGACCCAGCACTGACTCATGTCCCCCCAACAGATCCTCACCCAGGAGGACTGGAACGTGGTCCTCTACAACGGCATGGCCTCCACCTCCCCCTGGGCCTCTCTCTACTTTGTCGCCCTCATGACCTTTGGCAACTATGTGCTTTTCAACCTGCTGGTGGCCATCCTGGTGGAGGGCTTCCAGGCTGAGGTGACCGCAGCCCCGGTGTGGGGGAGGGTACCTCCATGGGGCGAGCCCCTGGGCAGGGGAGAGGCAGCCTGGGGATGGGGGAGGGCTGTGACTCAAACATCTAACTGAGGTGGCGAGCTCTCTGGCACAGAAGGCATGCAAAACAGATGCCGTGGGCTGAAGGGCCAGGCCTCTCCACCTGAGATTCCAAGGCCCCCATATCTGGGTTTCTAGACCCAGCTTCCTTCTTTCTCGGAGGCTTTGGGGACAGTTTTAATCAGGCAAATAGATGTTTGCAGCCTAGGTCGTCATTAGCTGCTTTTGTCCTTTTTCTAAGCCTCAGTTTCCTCACCTATAAAAGGGAAGTTGAAATAGCCATGGCAAACTTCAGGATCTGGGGCGGGGGGGGGGAAGGGCTACGTTGACCTCTGCGCTGCTCTCCTAGGGTGACGCCAATCGCTCCTACTCGGATGAGGACCAGAGTTCTTCCAACATGGAGGAGTTTGACAAGCTCCAGGAGGCCCTGGAAGGCAGCAGAGGTAAACAGGTTTCTGCTTGTCCCCCAGAGCCAGAGGCCGTCCCTCGATATGCAGGCGGGCACAGGGCTCCGGCCTCCTCCTCAGCGGAGCCCGGGCGTGGGGGTTGCTCATGGGCGGCTCATGCCCTGTTTCAGTTTTTCCATTCACAACTAAAGGAGGTGCTGAGTCTCAAAGGGAGGACGCCATTCATGAACTTTCTAGAAGCCAGCCAGAGGGGCAGCTACAGACCATAGATTCCCGTGGTTAGAATCTTGGGGCCTTAGGCGAGGCCGGGGTTCCACTAGAGCACTTGGAACAAATCTCTCCCAACCCCTGCCTAGTGCTTCCACAAGCCAGGCACGCAGCCCTTGCCCGCCTCCCTCTGAGTGAAACTCATCCAAGTGTGGAAGGCCAAGGACTCAGGCAGAGTAAAGAGTCCCAAAGGCTCATGGGGTGGGGTGCAGCCCAGAAGACTTTCTGGTGGCGATGTCTTCTCAGAAGAGCTCTCCATTTCTGCTAGGGTCACATCTATTGCTGTTTCTCGTTCTCTTCTGTCTATTGTCCTCTCTGTCATCTTACTCCTCCAGATCCCAAGCTCTGTCCAATCCCCATGACTCCTAATGGGCACCTGGACCCTAGCCTCCCACTGGGTGGGCACCTGGGTACTGCCGGGGCTGTGGGCGCCGTGCCCCGCCTCTCTCTGCAGCCGGACCCAGTCCTGGTGGCCCTGGACTCCCGCAAGAGCAGCGTGATGTCTCTGGGCCGGATGAGTTACGATCAGCGCTCCCTGGTGAGTCCTCTGGTGGGCGGCGATGGTGCTCCTTGATCTGGAGTGGGGGGACCCTGTTTCCAACCCAAGCTAGGGCACCCCGCTATCCCACCCAAATCAAGCATTCCTGATTTGTCACTCCTGGGCGCCCAGTGCCAGAGAATGGCCTGGCAGCAATTAATGAATGGTGTCTACCGTAGGCTCTGGTAGAGAGAACAGGGGTGTCATCTTGACAGCAATAGGTGGGGTAAATTCTTGGGGGGCCATGTAGACTAGAGCTTGAATCTGTCCTTTGCTATATGACCACAAACCAACTGCTCTCCATCTCTGAGGCTCAGTTTCCCTCTCTGCAAAACAGGAAGATGGTCCTAACTTCCTGTGGGTTCCCCATGAAAAGTGAGTGGCAGGAGGGGGTGGAGTGAGTCCAGCTCCTCCCTCACCCATTGGCTAGGCTCCTGTCCAGGGCATATGTTGGCACTGACCCGGGGCCTGGCCTCCCCTGTAGTCCAGCTCCCGGAGCTCCTACTACGGGCCATGGGGCCGCAGCGGGGCGTGGGCCAGCCGCCGCTCCAGTTGGAACAGCCTCAAGCACAAGCCACCTTCAGCTGAGCATGAGTCGCTGCTGGGCAGCGGGGCCCGGGCCTGCGAGGGCGCCCGGGATGAGGGGCCGCCCCGCCCCGTGCCCCTCCACGCACCCCACACCCACCACCTGTACCATGGACCCCACTTGGCGCACCGACATCACCACCATCGCCGCACTCTGTCCCTCGACACCAGGGACTCGGTGGACCTAGCCGAGCTGGTGCCTGTAGTGGGCACCCACCCTCGGGCTGCCTGGAGGGCGACAGGCCTGGTACCTGGGCATGAGGACTGCAATGGTAGGATGCCCAGCATCGCCAAGGATGTCTTCACCAAGATGGATGACCGCCGGGACCGAGTGGAGGACGAGGAGGAGATGGACTATGTGAGTAGGCCCGGCTTGGTGGGCGGGGCAAGGCGATGGGCGTGCCATGGAGGGCCTGGTGTAGAGGTGGGTGGAATGATGGGCTTCTGTTGAGTGAGGCTGGAGGGGCGGGGCCAGAAGGACCAGGACACAGGCCACCAGCTGGACTATGAATGGGCAGGAGCTGCAGTAGGTGGGGTTAGGGGCGGGGCATGTCTGTTGGAGGCGCTAAGGGGCTTCTGCAGGGTGCATAGAGTCAGAGCTGGGCTTGCTCTGGGGGAAGAAGCTCCTTCTTGCCCCTCCCCACACCTGCCATGGAAGGGGGAGAGCTCAGAGGTCACTCAGCGACCCTAGTCTTCTGGACGGCCAGGTGGGGCCCCAGAGCCCAGCACTGACCCTCCTATGCCTGGCCTTCCCCTTGCCAGACTCTGTGCTTCCGTGTCCGCAAGATGATTGATGTCTACAAGCCTGACTGGTGCGAGGTCCGGGAGAACTGGTCTGTCTACCTTTTCTCTCCAGAGAACAGGTGTGCAGGGGCTGGCTTGGGGTGAGGGCTGCAGTGGAGGTTGGTGACTTGTCCGGGAGGGCGAGCTCTCTCTGCCAAGCAGGGCAAAGCCATTGAATGATAGATACACTACCATACTGCCGGTGGTATCTGCCCGGGAAGAGGCGGGTCCAGACATCCATTCAGGGCTTTCCTGGGCACTTCCTATAGTCTAGGTTAGCCCAATACCGAGCACCTGGTTGGACAGATCCTGAAGCAATTGGGGGTTCTCACATCCAGAGTGGCATCAGAAGGCTTCCTGAAGGAGGAGGCCTGTGTTAGGCTTTGGAGGTAGCTAGATAACACTCAGTTAGGCAGAGTGAGTTTGGAGTTATGAAGTGGACCGACTAGCACAGGTGAAGGGAGCAGCGGAGGGAAAGCCGAGGGGACGTGAGATGGTGGGATGGTCCGGGTGTGGAGTTGGCACCTGCTGTGGGTCAGAGGGCAGAGGAAGAGTCCTGAGTGGGCTTGTCCCTCTGTCTTTCCCTGGCTGTCCAGGTGGGAGGCAAACTGACACTCTTGGTGCCTCCTGCCCAGGTTCCGGGTTCTGTGTCAGACCATCATCGCCCACAAGCTCTTCGATTATGTCGTCCTGGCCTTCATCTTCCTCAACTGCATCACCATCGCACTGGAGCGGCCCCAGATTGAAGCTGGCAGCACTGTAAGTTGCTGCCCTCAAGCAGGGCAGGGGGCCAACCTGAGGGGCACAGCACCAGGGCCTACCCTGGCCCAGAGTGCCCGGCCCAGGGAACCCTCAGCAAAGCCAGACACTGGGCCCAACCACGGAGGGAGGTGCTGGCAGGGAGCTTGCTGGGGGGAGGGAGGAGGGAAGTCTGCCTAGATCTGAGGAGTGGCAGCTTCTCCTGGCTGCCCCTTGGAGAGTGGCCACGTGGCTGGGCAGTTGTGGCACTCCTTGGGGCCCATGGCATCTCCTGGCTCTTTTAGGAACGCATCTTCCTCACGGTCTCCAACTACATCTTCACAGCCATCTTCGTGGGCGAGATGACACTGAAGGTTGCTTTGGCTTCACCTGGATTGCTCCCATCCCTAGATTGGGGGGGGCAGGGCGGGGCGGGGTAGGAGGGCAGGGGTGAGACTGGCCTAGGTCCTGCCCCTTCCTTAGCTTGTCATTGGCCATCAGCACCATTCCACAGGCTGGGAGACCCGCCCTGGCTGAGCTCCTGACCCAGCCCCTGGGGCCTGGAAGGGGTCGGTGGTACCTCCCATCCACCCTTCTGAGAATCAGACCCCACCAGAAAGGCGAGTACAGGGAGCAACATAGCTAGAGGAATAGAGGTATCTGTGGAAGTGGGGTACAGGGTGCGAGAAAAGAGCTCCTCTGAGACTTCCTAGCACTGTGGCCTTTGGATTGGGTTTGTCGAAGTGTTGGGAGATGCTAAAGGGGCAGTGTCCTGGGTCCTGACTTTGCCCCTTCCCTGCTCATTGCCCTCACTGGGACAGCCTTGAACTGTCCCACGCCCACCACCTCCACCTGCCCGTCCTGCCCCAGTGGCTGCAGGTGGGCTTGACCTTGCCCTGCTCCTTCCCCTCCCCCCTCCCCAGCTGCCCCCAGGGCCCTGACCCCAGCCCCACCCCCAGGTGGTCTCGCTGGGCCTGTACTTTGGGGAGCAGGCCTACCTGCGCAGCAGCTGGAATGTGCTGGACGGCTTTCTTGTCTTCGTGTCCATCATCGACATTGTGGTGTCTGTGGCTTCGGCGGGGGGAGCCAAGATCCTGGGGGTCCTCCGCGTCCTGCGTCTCTTGCGCACGCTCCGCCCACTGCGGTGAGCACCCTGGAGGCAAGAGAGCTGGGGGCGGGGGTGGCTGAGTTGTTCTGGAGGTCGCAAGGGTTTAGTTGGGACAGGGGCTCCGGGCCGAGGGGGGGCTGGCTCCCTTGGACGATGGCTCACGATGCTGCTGTCTGCTGTCCCCAGGGTCATCAGCCGGGCCCCAGGGCTGAAGCTGGTGGTGGAGACTCTCATCTCCTCCCTGAAGCCTATCGGCAACATCGTGCTCATCTGCTGTGCCTTCTTCATCATCTTCGGCATCCTGGGGGTACAGGTGAGGGGTACCTAGTGTGTGTGGGGGAACAGAGCAAGGGCTGCACATTCCTGCCTATCTTAACCTCACTGCTGCTAGCCAGCCTGGGGCTCAGGTGGCCCTGGTGGAGCAGCCATGCTCTTAGCCAAGAGGAAGGCAGAGCACAGCCCAGATGCCTGAGCCTAGGGCAGTGTGACTGCGGGGTGGGTCTCTCCTCTGATTATGACCTCCAGGCTCCAGGAGCCCTGACCTTGCTCTCTTCCCCTCCCTCCTTCCCCCCCCCCAGCTCTTCAAGGGCAAGTTCTATCACTGCCTGGGCGTGGATACCCGTAACATCACCAATCGATCTGACTGTGTAGCAGCCAACTACCGCTGGGTTCATCACAAATACAACTTTGACAACCTGGGCCAGGTGAGCACTGCCCACCTGCCTGCCCGCCTCGGTCTGGCCTGCCCTGCCTACTGTGGGTGAGAGTTGTTCAGTGTGGATGGCCCTGGCACCAGAGACCGGTCTGTGGACTTGTCCTGCCATTCTCGAGCCTGTCATGTTTCCCTTCCAAGCCTGTTTCCTAGTCTGCCAAAGGGGTGGGACACACAGTCTGCTTGAAGTATGCATGAGGCTAGAATTCCACGTGCAGGGCCAGGCCCACACCTCTGTTGGGCTCCAGTTAGGTGTGAGGCTGTGCCAAGTGCTTCAGCACCCACCTGCCACCTTAAAAAAGGGCCGGGAGAACTGGCTTGCTATCCACGTCTCCCGATTACTACCCTCTAAAAATCTCAGACTAGCCTGGCACTGGTAATTAATGCCTGTAATCCCAGCTACTCAAGAAGCTGAGATCTGAGGATTGCAGTTCAAACCAGCCTAGGCCAGAAAGTCCCTGAGACTTTTATCTCCCATTAGCCAGCAAAACCCTGGAAGTAGAGCTGTAGCTTAAGTGGTAGAGCACCAGCCTTGAGTGAAAAAGCTCAGTGACAGTTCCCAGGACTTGAGTTTACGCGCGCGCACACACACACACACACACACACACACACACACACACACACACACACACACACGGTTTAAAGCAAAACAGCAAAAGGATGAACATTTAAAGGCCTCTGTTCCTGGGTTTCCCAGACACAGAACAATGGGGAAACAGAGGAGGTAGGTGTGGCCCGGGCCATCCACACCCCTTATTTCGCCCCTCCCCATTTCTTCCAGGCGCTGATGTCCCTCTTTGTCCTGGCCTCTAAGGACGGCTGGGTGAACATCATGTACAACGGACTGGATGCTGTGGCTGTGGACCAGCAGGTGGGCATGGCTGGGAGCAGGCCAGCAGGGAGAGACATGTCTTTGGGGCCAGGTGATCAGAAACTTGTGCTAGTGACACTCAGAACCCCAGTGTCATCCCTCTGTCAGCCCACTCTCAGTGTCCTGGCCCTACTTGGCCCTTCGCATTGCTCTGTGGGTGGCATGAATCCTTGTACACTTGCTTCTGCAAATCCCCTGCTCTGCGGGGGGAGGGATATCCCAGCTGCTTCCCGCCTGGAGGGACATGGCGCCTGGTGGGTGGACAACCAAATGCAGAAGAGGAGAGGGGCTGAGCCAATTGGCAGAGGGACAGCAGGTACCAGCCTGAGGCGAGAGAGGCAAAGTGAAAGTCTCAGGAAGGGGGGGGAGGAGCCAAGACTCCACCGTTCTCTAGCCAGGGGCAGCAGTTTATTCCAAGGGAACAGGGAACCATCCAAGGAGTTATGGGGCAGTAGTGGTGCCCCCTGCTGGTCAGGCTGAGTGGGAGCACTTCCTATAGTCTGTTGAATGAGAGTGGATGTGGAGAGGGGCCTGGGTGGAGAGAGTCAGGGAGAGGCTGAGTGCCAGAGAAGGCCTGAGCCTTAGTTCCAAAGACTCCTCTGGGAGATGTCAGGCAAGACACAGGTCTGATCAGGGTTGGCTGGGGCCAGACCATGGGAGTCTGAAGAGGTGGTTGAGAGAAGGATCAGAAAGAATTCTAGGTCAAGACTGGAGAAATGGAGGCTTTGGGTAGCCACAGGCCCATTAGTAACCTGTAAATCTTAGCCTCCTGGAGCACATGTAGTTAAGGCTCTAGAAGCTAAAGGCAAAGGAAGAAAGAGTAATCAGGGATGAGAACTCCACCTCCTTGTCTGGTCTGTCCCTTGCCCTCAGCAGAGAATGTGCATGCCTTTTTTTTTTTCTTGTTTCTGAATGGATGAATAAGCAGGTGGGGAGATGGATATGTGGGTGAGTGGGTGGACGGGAGTAGGTGAGTGAGGGAGGGGTGACTGGTTGCATACGCAGATGGATGGAGGCGTAGCTAGGTGGATGAGTAGATGGCTGGATGGATGAGGGATTGGATGAGTAGGGCATAGATGAGTAAGTGGAGGATTGGGTGGTTGGTTGGAAGGATTAAAGGATGAGTAGATGGATGGGTGGGTGGATGGATAGATGAGTGGATAGGAGGATGAATGGATGAATGATAAATGGATGAATGAGTGGATAGGTGGGTAGATGGATGATTGGTTGGATAGATGAATGAAAGGGTAAGTGGATGAATGACTATAAAGGTTGATGATGGGTGGATGAGTGGTAGATGAGTTGATGAGTAGATGGATGGTTGAGTGATTGGATGGGTGGGTGGACAGACGAATCAGTGGATGGGTGGATAGATGGATGGATAGATGAATGGTTGGGTGAAAGGATGAGTGGATGGATGAGTATGTAGATGGATGCATACTTTCCAAGTAAATGATAGGCAAATGAGAGGGAAAAGATAGATGTCCACGAGGCTACAGCTGGAGCTGCAGGAAAGAGGCTTCTCCTGGCTGACCACCTCACTTTGCCAGGTCCAGGCTGGGTATTTCCTACCTGCTGCCTTGTTGAAGCTGCACAGCACCCTTGGTGGCAGGCTGTTGGCACCACCCCTGCCCTTGCACCCAGGCTTGGTGAGATCGGGGACCTTTCTCATGGCCCTGTGGGTGTCTGACTGTGCCCTTTACCTTGGATTCCACCCCTGCAGCCCGTAACCAACCACAACCCCTGGATGCTGCTGTACTTCATCTCCTTCCTGCTCATCGTCAGTTTCTTTGTGCTCAACATGTTCGTGGGGGTGGTGGTGGAGAATTTCCACAAGTGCCGGCAGCACCAGGAGGCGGAGGAGGCGCGGCGGCGCGAGGAGAAGCGTCTACGGCGACTGGAGAAGAAGCGCCGTAGTGAGTGGGCACTGCGGGATGGGGTCACTGCTACCTGGAGCCCCTCTCTGGGCTGCTGTGCCCCTTGAGGCCTAGGTCCGACCACAGCCTCCTAGACTTTGGAACTATAGACATCAAAGTGCCCTCTCCTGTGCCTGGGGTCCAGCATCTGCTGGTCTCAGTGCCCCAAGTCTATCAGTGCCCACCTGGAGTTCAGGTGACCCCACTGCCCACCTCAGTGGAGCTCTAGATGGTTCAGGCTAGGCAGAAGCCACGGCTGAGGCCAGCGGGCCAGCCCTGGACCGTGCGTCCTCTCCACGAGCAGACCTTGTGCTCCTGCTGTGGGCACATCCTGGCCTCTGCGCCACCCTCCCCTGTGCCTTACACTTTCCCTCATGGTGCCCTGGCCGTGTGGAGGAGACCTAACTCTGGACCAGAGCCGGGAGTGGAGCAACATCTTTCTCCTTTGCTTCCTCCCTCCCCACTGTCCCTCCCTCCTTTGTGCTCTGTCCCTTTCTTAATTTGTGGTCTCTGTCACTCCTCGTGCCGTGCAGAGGCTCAGAGGCTGCCCTACTATGCCACCTACTGTCCCACCCGGCTGTTCATCCACTCCATGTGCACCAGCCACTACCTGGACATCTTCATCACCTTCATCATCTGCCTCAATGTGGTCACCATGTCACTGGAGCACTATAACCAGCCCACGGTGAGCCACGGCCCTTCCCAGCCCAAGGTCATGTGCTGGGTATCTGACCTTAGCAACAGATTAGGGTGGGGGTGGGGTCAGCTAACAGCAGGATCCGAGAAGCTGCTCCATGCCAGGCCCTGTGTTGGCACTGCATGGAAAGGGGGTGTAGGACAGCCTGCCCCGGGGAAGCTCAGGGCCTGAGGTGGCAGGTGCAAGAAGAGGGAAGGTTAGAGGGAAGGTCACTCATCTCTGGTGGGTCAGAGGACATCTTAGAAGATGAACACCAATGACTGCGGTAGAGTAAATATTAACTCATTAACTCTTACAGCATTCTAGGGTTGTCTAGGTTTTATAGAGAAGGGAAGTGAGGCACATTCAAAGCATATCATATAGTCTGTGCTTTTAGTTGAATATACAGGAGACTGGGGGGAGGGCGTTCTGGGTGGGCACTGCTGGGGTCTGAGGTGGTAACCAGTCCCCAGGATCGTGGATGGCATGCACAGAGGGTGTGTGAGGTGAAGTGTTTCTGAAAGCCTCAGCCCAGTGGAGTCATTAGTCAAAATGCGGGAAGGCGGGGAAGGGGGGCAGATCCGCCAGATGAGGAATTGGTATCTTATTTCAAATGATAGAGGATGTGATGGACGAGGGGAAGGAAAAGGACACCATAGGCAGAATGAAACAGTAATTGTAGTGCCTCCAAATTAACATTAAAAAACCCAACATAATCATAGCTCACCTTTCCCCAGTGTTTATTCAGTGTCCAGAACTGAACTGTTAGCTCATTTAACTTTCACAGCAATTTTTTGAGGTAAGTGACATTGTTTTTTCACAATTTTCAGATTAAGAAGCTAAGTATCAGAGGTCACTCAATTGCCCCAGATATATATAGTGAATAGGAGTAAACGCTAAATCCTTATTCACATCTATATAATCTGGTCTGAGAATTCTTAATCACTACCTCATATGGCTTCCAGAGGGGGTCAACTGGACCAAATAAGCAGAAATAAGGAAAAAGGAAACAACGATACAAATAACACATATTAAGTAAGGTGGAAGGGATAAAAGCCTTATCATTATACTATATGTGAATGGACGAAATTCTCCCTTAAAAAAAGGCAGAGACTTTTCTGATTGGAGGAAGGTTATAAGGTAGTCCAGGAGTCCTAGATCATGTTTCCCTTTGCTCCTCCAGTCTCTGGAGACAGCCCTCAAGTACTGCAACTACATGTTCACCACTGTCTTTGTGCTGGAGGCTGTGATGAAGCTGGTAGCATTTGGCTTGAGACGTTTCTTCAAGGACAGGTGAGTGTCTGGACAAGATGGGGATGCATCCCTGAGCCCTAGAGAAGCCTGGAGCAACCAGAAGAGGGAGACCAGAAAGCATTTGAGCACTGATAGCTTGGGGCTCCCTGCTGCCACCTAGATCTCTGATCAGAAAGTGGTTAGGTCACATGGGTTGGGTACAGGGCATTCCACCAGGCCCTTCTCAGCTCATCTCTAGGGGATCTTCCACGCCCTGAAGGGTCTGCTTTATGCCAGCCTTCCATTTCAGAGGGAGCAAGGGAGGCTTAGAGAAATGGATGTTTAAAAGCCACCCAGAAGGAGCAGGTGGCTTGGAATATAGGCCAAGATGTCAGAGGCCATGCCTCTTCTCCTACAGGAGGCCAATGGTGCTGATTTGGCTCAGTCACAGACTTGCTTTGGGGAGTGGAGTCTCTCTGGAGCTGGACCCAGTGGTGTTTTGGGGGAGCTACTAGTGGGGGGGGCGGCTATAACAGGAGGGTGAAGAACTGAGAGGCATCTCCCAGTAAAGATGTATCTGGGCCAGTGCTGCTCCCCCATCGCCCCTCCTGCCTCCTGTGCCCCGCTGAGCAGGTGGAACCAGCTGGACCTGGCCATTGTGCTGCTGTCCGTCATGGGCATCACGCTGGAGGAGATCGAGATCAACGCAGCCCTGCCCATCAACCCCACCATCATCCGGATCATGCGAGTCCTGCGCATCGCCCGGGGTGAGGGCCAGGGTCAGGGCGAGCAAGGGAAGGGGGGGACTCACCAGCGCAGGCCGGGGGTGGGCTGGGAGAGGGAGGGGCTTCCTGCTGAGCAGGACTCAGGCGGAGCCACAGATCCCCCCTCCCGTGAAGCTCCTTAGACAAACCCTCACGCAGCGGCCAGTCTTGGTTGAGACGGAAGGAACTGGGCCCAGCTCTAGTTGCTACCTGGCATTTTTCCAGTTCTGCAGCTATAAGCATGTCTTAGTTTCTGCTTCATCCTCCCCCCATCCCAAGGTTATGCCCTATGCTGCTACTACTTCTGCCACTGCCTCCTCCTGCTCCTGCTCCTGCTCCTCCTTCTTTTTGTTGGTCATGGGGTTTGAACTCTGGGCCTGGGCACTGTCCCTGAACTCTTTAGCTTAAGGCGAGCACCCTACCCTTTGAGCCACACGGACATTCCTGCCTAGACTGGCTTAGAACCACAATCCTCAGATCTCAGCCTCCTGAATAGCTAGGATTACAGGCATGAGCCACCAGTGCCTGCCTTCTGCTCCTCCTCCTCCTCTCCTCCTCCTCCTCCTCTTCCTCCTCCTCCTCCTCTTGTCCCTCCTCTTCCCCCTGTTCTTCCTTCTTTTCCTGGTCCTGGGGCTTGAACTCAGGGTCTGGGCTCTGTCCTGAGCTTCTTTTGATCAAGGCCAGCTCTCTATCACTTGAGCCACAGCGCCACTTCAGTTTTCTGGTGGTTAATTGGAGATAAGAGTCTCACAGACATTCCTGTCCAGGCTGGCTTTGAACCACAATCCTCAGATCTCAGCCTTCTGAGTAGCTAGGATTATAGGCGTGAGCCACCAGCGCCTGCCTTATCATACTCTTCTCCCCCTCCCCTCCTTCTCCTCCTCTTCTTCTTCCTCCTCCTCCTCCTCCTTCTCCTAACTCCTTTGAACTCAGGGTCTGGGCTCTGTCCCTGAGCTTCTTTTGAAGCCAGCTCTCTTTCACAGCACCACTTCTGGCTTCTCTTGAGTAATTATTGCAGATAAAAGTCCATTCAACTTTTCTACCCAGGCTAGCTTCAAGCTGCAATCCTCAGATCTCAGCCTCCTGAGTAGCCAAGATTACAGGCGTGAACCACCAGTGCCTAGCATTCCTGTGCTTCTTCCCAAACCCTCCCACCTCAGTCCTACTTCTGGTGCTGCCTCTTGCTCTTCTACCTGTCCTCTGCCCATTGCCACCGTGTTCTGGACAAGTGACACCAGAGCCCCCTGTAGCCAAAAGAGGCGAGGATGCGGCTGTCACCCCTGCCTGCCTCATCACGGTTGATGCACACTCCCTCTCACACTTCACGCCCCTTCATTCTGGTGCATGCGTATGCATCCTCTTGGCTTTTAGATGCTGATCTCCACACGGGCATCACACTTTTGTGCATGACCCTGTTCACCCTGAATGTAACCCCCCCCCCATACACACACATCCTTGCAGCCCAGGCTGAGGGCTGGGCTGGTTGTCACCCACAGTGCTGAAGCTACTGAAGATGGCTACGGGCATGCGGGCCCTGCTGGACACGGTGGTGCAGGCTCTGCCACAGGTAAGAACTCCTCCTTTTCTCAGCCCCGCCTAGATATCGCCACGGTGAGCTGGGCCCTGGGAGGCATGCCTCAACTTCCTTCTCCCCAAACCTGCCCAGACTCAGGGCAAAGTCCTGCCTCTTCTTGGCCTCACCATATGGCTGCCAGTGCAGCTCTGGGTTCTGTCCTATGCCAGAGCCCTTGGCTATTCCTTGAGCAAAGGGGGAAGGCTCCCTGGGGAAGGGCCTCTGCAGGCTAGGTTGGCAGGAAAAGGTGGGGATGTGGGTAGAAAGCTCCTGACCTGGGTGGGCCTTCCTGAACAGGCAGGAAACTCCTGGTTCACGGAATGGGAGCTGGGGCTAAGGCCATGGACAGGGCAATTCTTCAGTCCCAGTACTGTTCTCAGTCCACCATCCCAACTGCTTGAGCTCCACTTCCCTCCTGTGCTCCAAGGTGAGCCTCACCCACACGCACTCACCAACTCATCTAATCTTACTGAGTTACAAGCATCTTGAAATCAAATCAATGGGCTACATCTGTAATCATAGCTACTTGGAAGGCTCAGATCTAGAACATCGTGAAGACAGTCTGGGCAGAAAAGTCTTTGGGATTCTGTTTCCAAAATACAAACCAAATCCAGCGGAAAGCAGGGCTGGAAGTATGGCTCAAGTGGTAGAATGCCAATGAAGCAAGTAAGCTGAGCAAGTCTGAGGCCAGGATAGCAGTGAGTTTGTTTGGTGTGAGTTTCCCAGTGGCCTAGTGACAAAGGGAAAGTGACGTGGCTCTGTTCAGGTCTGGATGGACCATAAAGGCTCTTGCTGGAGATGGGGTTTTCCTTAATATCTGGGAAGCTGTGGAGGGGATGATGGGCTGGACAGGAGCTAGGTTGCAGCCTGAAGTTGAGCCACAGGACCTGGGATCCAAGAGTGGGGCTTGGGTGTGCAATTTAACCCTTCATGCTTTGGTTTCTGTCATGATAGTGCATCAGGGTTCACAGGGCTGATGCTTACAAAGCACTCAGCACGATGGCTGAGAATGAGGGCGTAGGGATGGGGGTACCCAGGCCCCTTTGGCTTCTCCTCTCCTTCTCTGACCCCCGAGGGTCCTGAGCTATCCCAGGGCACATGAAGATGAGACCAGCCTTCAGGAGGTGACAGGTGATGACAGTTACAGTAACATCAGCCCTTGGAGAATCTTGTGCCAAGTACCACGTGATCCTGTGAGGGGGGCTGGGGCTTGCCTCTGAAAATCTAGTACCTGACGCCCGTGCTGCCCAGCGGCCCTGGGCATGTTCTTGCTTCTATGTAAGAAGGAAACTTCAGCTCTCTCTCCTCGGCTCAGCTCCATGCAGAGGAGAGAAGCATCAGGAAAGGCTCCCCAGAGGAGGTGGCCCACCCATGGGCCTTGAGGGGTGAAGAGAGAGACACTGAGCGGGGAAAAGACACTACAGGGGTCAGTTTTCCCCTGGCTTGCAGTGGGGGAGTGGGGGTGGATGATCAGGCCAGGAAGTTGCGGGGGGGTAGGGTGGGTGGCTGGGTGCCTGAGAGTCAGGTCACAGTCAGCCTTCAGCTCTGCAGAGAGCTTAGGCTTTGTCCCACAGTCCACAGGAGTATTGGACAAGGAGGACTCTCAGGCAGTTTCTTGGCAGTTTCTGGATGGGAGGAGAGGCTGGAGGCAGGGAGGCCAGTGAGGAGGTCGCTGTGGCCATCAGGTTCTGAGATGCTGAGGGAGGAGACTGGTAGAGAAGATAAGGAAGGCACCAGTGGGAAGGATTCGCTAGCCCCACAGAGCAGGGTGAGGAGCTGAGTTCCAGGGCCTCGACCACGCTGGTCTTCCTCCCTCCTGCGCCCCCCCCCCCAGCTGTCAGGGCTGCAGGCAGCCTCATGGCGCCCACTAAGTACTTGTTTCACTAATGAACAGAGCACCATTTAATTAGCCAGACACTCCAGTGCAGGGAGGCTGGGAAGGGAGCCCTCCCCAGGAGCAGTCTGTGATGGATGGCGTTTACTTCTCAGCAATTAATGCGAACGCCTTTTCCATCCACACGCACGGCCTTCAGAGGGCCTGAGAGCGGTTGCCTTTCCAGGCCAGGAACGTGTTGTGCGCTGGTGTGGGTAAAGACCGCCTCTGGCGGGTGGATTTAGAATCTGGGACGTTCTCTCCCGCAGGAGCCATGGGCTGGGGGTGGCTGTGTGTGCAGGAGGCTCCTGGGTTCTGTATGAGTTCCACACCCTGATTGTTTCCACGGTGAGCCTCGCGCTCACGCTGGCCTGTGGGGGCAAAGAGGACTTTCTTTTTCTCTTCTTTTCTTTTCTTCTTTTCTGTTCTTTTCTTTTTTTGTGGTCATGGGGCTTGAACTCTGGGCCTGGCGCTGGCCCTGAACTCTTCAGCTCAAGGCAAGCGTTCTACCACTTGAGCCACAGCGCCACTTCTGGTTTTCTGGTTAATTGGAGGTAAGAGTCTCATGGACTATCCTGCCTGGGCTGGCTTTGAACTGCGATCCTCAGATCTCAGCCTCCTGGGTAGCTAGAATGACAGGTGTGAGCCATTGGCGCCCGGCTTACAAAGAGGACTTCATCCAGCTTGTGAGGACTTTGTAGGAGAGATGATGATGGGGACGTGTGTTTACATCTGCACTGGAGGAATCAGGCAGGCTTCAAGGAGGGGGTGGCACTGCTGCTGAGACTCCTTCCTCTTCATCCACAGAGCCTCCCAGAGCACACAAGGTGCTCGGAGCACACGTTAGGAGCTGTGTGTCGGGGAAAGTGACTTCACCTCTTGGTCTGCCTCTGTTCCTCTGAGAAAGGGGGATAAATGATGCTGTGTAGATTATGGGTATAAGGGAGCTGAGGAATGAAGGACTTGAAACATAGCACACACACACACACACACACATATACACACACACACATACATATATAACGTATGTGTCATTGTATGGCTTGAACTCAGGGCTTGGCTGCTGTCCCTGAGCTCTTTTGTGCAAGCCTAGCACTCTCTCACTTTGAGCCACGGCTCCACTTCTGGTTTTCTGGTGGTTAATTGGAGATAAGAGACAGACTTTCCTGCTTGGGCTCCCTTGGAAGAGCGATTCTCAGATCGCAGTCTCCTGAGTGGTTAGGATTACCGGCGTGAGCCTGCAGCGCCCGGCTCATAGCAGCATTTTATTTTCATCCTGTGGCCTCCCTCTTAGGCAGGCGGACATGGACCTGTGTGCAATATCATATCTGCCCGACCTCAGGTGTTGAGGCTGGCCTGGGCTCCCCTCACTGTATCCTCCCTGCCTGGAGCTCTCTGCTCTGTCCTCTTCAGCCTCCTCCTACCTCCCACCCTCTTAGGCCTCTCCATCCTCCCCCCGCCCCCCACATCCTTGGCCCAGACTCTTTTTCCTCGCAGGTCGGCAACCTGGGTCTTCTCTTCATGCTTCTATTCTTTATCTACGCTGCCCTGGGAGTGGAACTCTTTGGGAAGCTGGGTGAGCGACTCCCTAGGCCTGGGGCGGGGGGACTGGAGAAGGTGGGGGGCAGTGGCAGGGGAGGCCCCTCTGCAACTGGGCCTCCACACCCTGTCTTGGTGAGAGCAGAGCTTCGGAGGGTGGAAGCTGGGGCCCTCTGGCCCCCCGGGGGCTTGTCTTCCTTGCCCAGGCCAGTGCCCGTCCCAACAGACAAAGTCCAGGACAGGGTGGTGTGCCACGCAGCTCAGGCCAGCTCAGCCCTGCACAGGGTCAGCTCAGAAAATGGGGTCTCCTGAGGGGCTGGCCCTTGCCCCTCACCCCTTGTCCTCTCTTCGACCCTGTCGCTGTTGGCTTGAAGGATGAGCGAGACCATTCTGAGCCTGAGTCCCAGGCTGGGTGCCACCTTCCCCAGCCTCAGTTTCTCCACCTGTGGGCTGGGCGGGGGTGGCACACATCTCTGAGGATTGCGGGGAGCGCTGGCTCAGGGTGGGCCGGGAAGGGCAATGCCAGTGGACCAAAGGCCCTCTGCCCTTTCAGTGTGCAATGACGAGAACCCGTGCGAAGGCATGAGCCGACACGCCACCTTCGAGAACTTCGGCATGGCCTTCCTCACGCTCTTCCAGGTCTCCACGGGAGACAACTGGAATGGGATCATGAAGGTACGCGTGGGTGGGCTGGGGAGAAAGACACCAGGGGGTGGTGGAGTCCAGCGTGGGTCAGGCCCTGGTGCCCTCTGCATGCCCAGCGCCCCACTGCATCCGAGAAGCCCAGGGACCGCTGGGGACCGCAGGACGCAGAGAGGAGGCACTGAGGCACTGCCCTGGTGTCATCGAGCGGAGGCGCGGGGGGCACCTCTGCTGGGGTCCTTGCACTACATTCAAAGCCAAGGCTTTGAGGCCTGAGGACAGAGACAGCCCCCTCTCCCCCCCATGGGAAGATCCTGGCCTTTCCCTCCCCCATCAGCGTGACCAGTGGGTGGAGCATGAGGCGGAAGTCAGGGAGGCGGGGATGGCAGGTGACCCAGCAGCTTCTTGGGCTGTGCTGGGATGGGGGACTGAACTGATCTCAAAGCCTCCTGAAGAGCCCGGATGCTACTCCTTAGGGCTGACTGTGGTGTGGGGCTGGGGGCTGGAGGCGAGGCGGGTGTGGGGACCTGGTCCTCACCACCCCCCTCCGCACTGCAGGACACACTGCGGGACTGCACGCACGATGAGCGCAGCTGCCTGAGCAGCCTGCAGTTTGTGTCGCCGCTCTACTTCGTGAGCTTCGTGCTCACCGCCCAGTTCGTGCTCATCAACGTGGTGGTGGCCGTGCTCATGAAACACCTGGACGACAGCAACAAGGAGGCGCAGGAGGACGCCGAGATGGACGCTGAGATAGAGCTAGAGATGGCCCACGGCCTGGGCCCGACCCCCAGACCCCCCTCCAGCTCCCCGGGCGCCCCAGGCCTGGGCCCCGCAGGCGCAGGCAGCGGGGGTGACCCAGAGGGCCGCCTGTGCCGACGCTGCTACTCTCCTGCCCAGGTAAGGGCGGGGGGGGACCCCAACATGCTGAACTCCAGAGCGTGGCGACCCTGTGATGAGGGGCTCAGGCCCAGGCCATGGGTACCAAGAACGGGAGGGCAGCTGTGTCCCTCCCACCCTGCAATCCGGGGACCCGACCAGTAATCCCACCTGTCCCCGCCCCGCCCCGTCCGCCTAGGAGAACCTGTGGCTGGACAGCGTCTCTTTAATCATCAAGGACTCGTTGGAGGGCGAGCTGACCATCATCGACAACCTGTCTGGCTCCATCTTCCATCACTACGCCTCGCCTGCTGGCTGCGAGAAGTGTCACCATGACAAGCAGGAGGTACCGGTGGCCGGGGGAGGGGACCGGCCCTGGTGGCCAGCATCAAGCCAGCAGGGCCAGGCTGGCCCAAGGAAGAGCCCCAGCTCTGGGCCCCAGGGGCTCGATGGCCCCTGGGTAGTGGTCACAGCAGACAGTCTCTACAAGCCTGGGCTTGCTGATCTGAGCTGTAGGATGGGGCCCTGGGGTGGTGTGGGGAGCTGTGAGGCCCAACTTCCTGCATTGTGTCCCCTCCCCCGCACAAGCTGGAGTGCCATGGGTGGCCCGTGGGAGCATTCAGCCTTCTGTGACAGGAAGGGGTCCCCTTAGCCCGCCCTCTGCCCCCATGGCTACGTTCCCCTTTAGTAGTCCCAGAATGTTCTCAGGGACCCCTGCTCCAGCCTTGGATCCCAGCCCCCCTCCCCAGGACAGTTTTCCTTGCGTGGTCCCCCGGGTTTGTCTCCAGCAGGTTCAAGAGCCCCTCGCTGCTCCCCTGCTTCTGAGCTCCCTGGGGGGTGGGGGTGGGGAGGGCAGTATGATTGTTCCCAGGGGAACTTGTCAGGGGCTGGAAGTGGAGGCTGTGCACCCCTGCTACCCTATGGAAGCATATTCCCCTGGGTCTCAGGCCCAGTACCCCCCGCCCATCACACCACACACACACACACAGGGCACACACACAGGGCACACACACAGGGCACACACACACACACAGGGCACACACACACACACAGGGCACACACACACACACACACACACACACACACACACACACACACAGGGCTGGCCCACATCTGGGGCTCATCAGACTGAGATCCAACGCTGCCCGGACAGACTCTTGGTCTGCAGCAGGCAGCCCACCATGGTGACCGCAGCGTGTGCTCCCGGCCTGCTGCTGGGCTGGAGCGCAGGGCAGCCAGCTGGCCTGGCTTTCCTCCGGGGAGGCTCTGTGTCCCTGTCACATGTTACCAGGCGAGGCCTCTGTGTAGGGAAGGCATTCCACGCATGCCCAGCAGGCTCATGAACTGCTGGGACCTCCGACCCCTTCTGGAGTCCCCCCCCCCTTCCCCAGTCCAGCTCAGGCTGCCCTGTCCCAGCCGTGAGGTTGACGCGTCCACCACCTCCCCCTGCAGGTGCAGCTGGCGGAGACGGAGGCCTTCTCCCTGAACTCAGACAAGTCCTCGTCCATCTTGCTGGGGGATGAGCTGAGTCTCGAGGACCCCACAGCCTGCCCACCTGGCCCCAAAGACAGCAAGGTGAGCCGCCGTGGCGGGCTGTCTGTGTCATGGTGCATGGCTTCTGGGGCGGGCTGCAGTGTGGTGAACCCAATCAGAGCAGCACCTCCCTACGGCCCCCTGCACCTTCCTGTCCCACCTGACCCCCTTTCCTGCAGGGTGAGCCGGACACGCCCGAACCCATGCAGCTGGGGGACCTGGGTGAATGCTTCCTCTCTTTGTCCAACACGGCGGTGCCCACCAGCCCAGAGAGCTTCCTGAGCGAGATGGAGGCCGTCCCCTTCAACCCTGTGCGGTCCTGGCTGAAACATGAGAGCAGCCAAGGTGAGGCCTGGGAGCCCGGCCTGCTTCTCAAGCTCCGATCAGGGGCATCTGCCTCAGGGGGAGTGAGGTGGAGATTTTTCCCTTCGGTATTTTTGTGCAGACTTATATTAGTCTTGATGGTTAACTGGTAATAAGAGGTAGACTCTGGAGTCTGATAGAACATCAGTAAAAGAGCAAGGGCCAACTAATGCTGAGATATGAGAAGCCAGGGGTAAAGGAAACTTCATGCTGAGGATCCTAGGAGATGGGGTGAAAAGAGAAACAGGCCAACACACGCATGCACACACATACACGCATGCACACACACACACACACACACACACAGACCCTTTGCTGTCAGGCAGAAGGAAAGCTACCAGATTACGGATTTTTTTCAGTGCTATATTTGAGAGGAGTTTGTTCTCCAGATTCTCACATAAGGTGATGTTAAACAATGGGAAGGCTGGTTTCTTCAATAACTGTTTAGTAAAATGCTCGGCCATTTCTCCTCAGGCTCTATGGCCAGGATCTGTTTGGAGGTACTCTGTGCTCTGGGCCTGTGGCTGGGCTGCTGGTACATGGCAGGGGACTGAGGGTGCTTGAAAGCCAAATGTGCTTTCATTTGGCTATCATCCCTCTTGGGGGGGGGGTTGATGGGAACCTGGCTTCATGGCACTGCCTGGGGAAATGGGGAGGACCCTACAGAAGAGGGACCCTGGGTTCTCTTCTGAGACTATACGCTGGGGCCTCCTAAGAGCTGAGAGGACCCTCCCTGGAGCTGTGGCCTTTCTGATGGACTTGGTAGTGTGAAGTGTGAGGCCCTATACTTCCTGAACCCAAAGCATGGATGCACGACCTGACACCACAGCTGGTTTTATTTTGTGCTAGGACTTGAACTCAGGGCCTTGTACTTTGACTTGACGTTCTTCTCATGGCTTGAGCCACATCTCTGGTCTGGCATTTTAAAATTCTTCTGTAGATTTTATGTGTCTTTTTAACTTTATTTTTAAATTGTTATTATCAAGGTGATGTATAGAGGAGTTACAGTTATATAACTCAGGGAATGAGTACTTTTCCTTTTGAGCAATGTCTCTCCCTCTCTCCCAGTTATTCCCTCCCATTTGGCATTTTGCTGCTTAATTGGAGATGGAGTTTTATGGACTTTTCTGTCCTGGCTGGCTTCGAACCTCAGTGCAGGGCTGGAACCAGCCTGGTCCTGTGAGGGTGTCAGGCCCAATTCAGTACCTACTGTATACTTGGTACTGGGCCAGGAACTCTGCCACTATTTCTTATTCTCACAGTCTTTCCTCTCCTCAGGGTGGGCATCTGTCCTCATTTCCAGAGGAAGTGATTCCTTATGGGCCAGGCCCTGAGCCAGATCTGTTTGGCTCAGAAAGCAGTGCTTTGGCCCAGTCCCTGTCCCCCAGGAACCACACCTGCCGCTTCAGTCGTTCTCTTTTGTTTTCACAGTGGGGAAACTGAGGCTCAGAGCCAGGGTCTTGCTCAGGGTCTCACAGCCTGTGTGTTAGGCAGCCTCCCCATGCCAGACCAGCAGGGGGACCCTCAGCGACCCCCTTCAGGGCCGTGCCTTCCCCCACCTGCCTCAGCTCCACTTCCTCTTCTCCCGTAGCGCCCCCAAGTCCCTTCTCCCCGGACGCATCCAGCCCCCTCCTGCCCATGCCCTCCGAGTTCTTCCACCCTGCCGTGTCTGCCAGCCAGAAGGCGCAGGAGAAGGGCACCAGCACGGGGACCCTCCCCAAGATCGCCCTGCAGGGCTCCTGGGCGTCGCTGCGGTCACCAAGTGTCAACTGCACCCTCCTCCACCAGGTATGCACAGAGGCCAGCCGGCCACCAAAGGCTCAGGGCGCCACCCCGCAGGCAGGGGGAGTTTGGGGAAGCTGAGGAGGGAATGCTGAGACTTGATAAGATAAATAAGATAGGCAGGACCAGGACCAGTCCTGGCGCGCCTGGGGGCAGAGAGTGTGGGAGGGTCCAGACGGTGGCATCTGGAAGGCCTGTGGGCCCAGCTTGAGGGAAGAAGGGGGTAACGCGGTGCTGGGATCGAGGAAAAATGTCTGGGGCAGGGTGGGGGAGGGGGATTTGATTGCTAGAGCTGCCCAGGGGGACAGGTCTGGAAATGGGATGTCTCAGCTGCAGGGTCCCCCTGTGCCGGGTCATGTGGGGCCCCACAGCTCCCAGGCTACCTGGGCACCACTGTGGGTGGGGAGATGGGGCCGTTCTGGCCCCGTACAATGGTGGGAACAAGACTGCAGGTGCTCTTGGCAGTCACACTTTCCCCCAGGAAAGGCCACCTCCCAGCTCTGTGCCCAGCTCTGAGTTACAGTGGGCCAGCAACACAAATTTCCTCCTCCTGTGTGTGTGCATGCTGTGTGTCCATGTGCATGTGCGTGCGAGTTCTGTTTAGCGATTGTGTGCTGAGTGTGGGAGGAGAGATGATAAAGCAGAATACATGCCCAGGAAGTCCAGTCTGTTGGGCAGTGACACGTGAGGAGGGAATGGGGCCACCAGAAGGAGCCGAGGGCTTGCTGTAAGGGGGTGGGGGAGCCTCATGATGGCTGGAGAGGGGTACAGGGAACCTCAGGCCAAGCCCCTGAGCCACCACAGCCCCGCTTCCCACCTTAGAGACTAGGGGTAAGCCAGGGGATCTTGCTTGTGTTGATGAGGCTCCAGGGGTGTGGCTTCTCGTAGGTGGATCCCAAGGGCGGAGCTTCCTGGGTGTGCTCCAAAGGGGCGTGGCTTATGATAGGCGGGGCTCCTAGGGTGTGGCTCCAGGGGGCGTGGTTTCCCTGGGCGGGACTCCCGAGGGGCGGGTCTGCTGAGAAGGAGGTCACCCAGGGACCAATCACCAGGTGATCCCAGGGACCGGGGTGTGGCCCTGCGGCGCCACAGGCAGCCTCATCCCCGCCTTCCTCGCAGGCCACCGTGAGTGACACATCGCTGGACAGCCCCAGCAGCTCGGCGGGCAGCCTGCAGACCACGCTGGAGGACAGCCTGACCCTGAGCGACAGTCCTCGGCGCGCCCTGGGGCCGCCGGTCCCCGCGGGTCCCCAGAGCGCCGGGCTGTCACCGGCGGCCCGGCGCCGCCTCAGCCTGCGGGGTCGCGGGCTGTTCAGCCTCCGCGGGCTCCGCGCCCACCAGCGCAGCCACAGCAGCGGCGGCTCCACCAGCCCGGGGTGCACGCAGCACGACTCCATGGACCCCTCGGACGAGGAGGGCCGCGGTGGCGCGGGCGGGGAGCACTCGGAGACGCTCAGCAGCCTGTCGCTCACCTCCCTCTTCTGCCCGCCACCTGTCCCGCAGCCATCCGGCCTCCCCCGGGCCAGGAAGTCCAGCAGCACCAGCAGCCTGGCCGCCCCGTCTGGTCACCGGCATCCTGCTGCCCCGATCCCCAGCCTGGCCCGGAGCCCTTCGTGGGCGGCTGAGGACCGCAGCAAGGACCCACCGGGCCAGGCCCAGCCCAGCCCAGCCTTGGGGCCCTCGGCGCCAGAGCTGCAGCCACCCCCCGGGGATCTGGAGGCCACAGATGCCATGAGCAAGAGGAAGAGATGAGAGGTGGCAGGGGCCGCGGCTGGTGGCCAGATGGATGCGTCTGTCCACCCGCCCGCCCCGTTTCACCTTCTTTTACCTCAGGAGCCAGGGAGCAGACAGCAATACTTTGTCCACACCTGGGAGTGGCCTGGGGCCAGCTGGGGCCAGCCGGGGCCAGCCAGGGCCAGCCCTCTGAGCCTGCGCCGATGGAGGAGGACCTGGGTTAGCCGAGGCTAAGATGTGGCCCCCACCCCCACCCCTGCGGTGGCCAGGTGTGGCCCTTCCAGTGCATATGCATACATATATGCAGATACACATATAGAGAGAGACAGACACATATATTTATTTATTTTTTTTACTGAGAGCTTATGACTTCCAGAAAGTGCTAAAAGTTGGGGGTATGGGCCAGGGGCCTTGTCTGCTGCTTGGCACACAAGCCTGCCCAGGGCAGGTGCTCTTATCTGGGTGTCACAGCTGCAGTTTTTAGGGTGTGTGCCTGGGTTGGGAGTAGTAGCTTGAGGAGGCTCAGGGCTCAGAGGCTGGGGAGGCAGGCAGGAGAAGAGGTGCAATTCAGGGTGCACTTTTTCCCCCCCTTTTAAAGAAGTCACTGCTATGGTTCCCCCACCTCCACCTACCTGTTGGGGTATCTGTCTTGTCCCTCTGATTGTCTAGTTGTCGTGAAGTCTTTTGTAGATACCCCTTCCCTGACATTGAGCACACAATCCCTGTTAGTTAACCAGCTAGATGTTTTCTTTAGGCAAATCAGGGGTGTGTAGTAGTGTGCTTAGGGCAGGGCAGGAGGCTGGGGGAGGAGGGGCTCTGGAGTTATGTGGGACCCATACCTCAGTGAGCACTGTTGCCCCCAAGGAGGCCTTTGGATGGGCGTAGTAGCAGAAGGATGCGGGACAAGAGAGATGGACTGACCAGTCACAGCATGCTCCCGGGCTCAGGGGTGCCCACCTGCACCCCCACAGGCACCTGTGGACTTGGGCAGTGGGTTGCACGGGACCTTACTGTCTTTTAGCCCCACTTGGGCCCTGAGCTACGTTCCTAGGGACTGTGCTCACCCATCCTAAGTGACCGCTTCTGCTCCGGAGCACTTCAGGGTCAGCAGAGATGGTCTGAGCACCTGCCCAAGCCTGGGACCAGGCCCCTCCCCACACCAGCTTTTTTAGCCTCAGTCTGGTTTCCTGGAGACCCACATCCTTGAACTCCTGTCTGCCTGTCCCTGGGTCTCTGTCTCACCGATCCTGAGCTGCAGGGCAGATTTAACTGTAATGCTTATCAAACAGGGTCAAGACAGGGCGGGTGGGGGGGGTGTCTCTTTTTCCTATTTGAATAGTTATGCATTTATTTCAGTATTTATTAGAAAAAATATAATGTATTGAATCACAGACATATTGCTTAGGCCCCACTAAGTTCTAAAGAGTGGGCAGATTTAAAGTCATGAGTCCTTGCCTCTGTCCAAGCCTTGCCCAGGCCCCTCCCACAAGCCCTGACTTCACGGCAGTGGGTGCTGGGGCCAGCTGGCAAACCATGGCTGCGTGGCTAGAGTCTAAAATTGTCTCAGCTGGCACGGGACCCTTCAGGCTGGGCACTGCAGGGAAAGGGGGAGGGAACAGAAGGCAGGAACAAGGCGCCATTGGTGGAAAGGAGTGGCACTCAGAGGGCCCCGTATGCTGTTGGCCAGCTGGGCTGGCCTGGGCCCTTTGGGCTTCCTGGGGAAAGGCTCTGACACTGTCCAGCTCTAGCTTGAACTGTGACCCCAGAATGAGCAGGGGATGGCGTCTGGGCAAAGGGACAGGCAGGGGCAAGGACTGGTAGGACAGAAGCGGGCCTCCTGGAGGCAGAGTCCTGTCCGGGGATGGGTTTCCTCAGGGTCCCAAATGCCTGCCCTGGGCATTGGCCTTGATCCCGTGCAGGGCACCAGGGAAGCTGTGTGCGTGGCCAGGACTCACCCTCGGTGGATAAAGCGTGAGCAAATGGCCTCTCCTCCCTTCCCGATCCAATGGCCTCAGCCCATGCGTGTCCATCACCAAAGCACAAACTCCTCCCAGTGCACATGGGCCTGGCTGTGGGGAGAATGGGGACCCAGGTGCCGATACCCCAAAGTCGTTCGCTTGCTGGTGGCAGGCGGGGGACTGCAGCATCTCAGACAGGGACCTGAGTTCAGCTGGGACGGTGGCCTGCTCTGGCCCCTTGCTCACCCCTGCCCTGCCTTCTGCCCTAGGCCCTCTTCCCCCGTGCCCCCTCCAGGAGGACGAAGCGTGCACAGCACCCGCCTGCCTCCCCTCACTCCCTTGGGGCCTACTGCTTCCAGGGTCCCCTCCAGCCCCCTTTTGCTGCGCTGTGTAAGGGCTTGGGGTCTTAGAATCCGCTCTTTAGCCCAGACACACATATCTTTTTGTCTTTGTGCAATAATCAGTGTTCCTGGCAGAGCTAGGGCCAAGCTGGGCCTAGGGGGGAGGAGACAGAAGCCACCTCCTCCAGGAAGCCCCCCGGCCTGGCTCTGCTGCTGTGACAATAGCATCCCCAGTCACTGTATAGTTTCTATGGCGTGAACAAACTCCCCTCCTAGCTGCTGACAGCGCTGGCCCCAGTGGCCTGGCACAGAGAAGTCCAGCGGCAGCCACCGCCAGCCAGCGTTGTTTTCAATAAAATCCCCGAAGCTGATTTAGGACTTTCTCTGTGTATCTCTGCTCTTCTTCCCTTCCAGGGATGGGTGTCAAGCGGAGGCAGGGAGGGCAGGGGCTGGGGGATGCTGTCTTTCCTTTGGGCTGAGGTTTGTGGGGCAGGGGCTGGGGGATGCTGTCTTTCCTTTGGGCTGAGGTTTGTGGGGCCTGGTATCTGTCAGGGGTCTAGAGGCATGTCCTAGGGGAGGTGGCGGGTGGGCTCTGGTGCCGATGGGTGGAGGGCTTCAGGGTGGGGGAGGAGGCAGAGCCTGGCATCCGGTCTCTGGAGGTGGCAAAGATCTAGGGTAGGAGGATCATATGGGAAGACGAATCTGCTTACCTCCCCTACTGTTTCCTGGATTTGTATTGCTGGTCTTGTCAAGCCTCTTGGCTGCAAAGGACAAAACCCAAGTCAAAAAGGAAAAAAGATGTAGAGCACGAGAGAAGGAAAGGACAGGAGAAAGAAGATGGGAAAGAAACAAAAAGGGGAAACTGGTTTTGTGTGTGTGTGTGTGTGTGTGTGTGTGTGTGTGTGTGTGTGTAGTCCAGAAACAGCTGGGTGCTGGTAGCTCATGCCTGTAATTCTAGCTATTCAGGAGGTTGAGATCTGAGGTTCATGGTTCAAAGCCAGCCCAGGCAGGAAAGTCTATGAGACTCATCTTAAATATTCTCAGAAAAAAAAACTGAACTGGAGCTGTGGCTCAAGTGGTAGAGTGCCAGCCTTGAATACAAAAGCTCAGGGACAAAGCCCAGACCCAGAGTTCAAGCCCCAGGACCAGTTAAAAAAAAAAAAACCCGACAAAAAACCAAACCAAACCAACAGAGCTTAGAAATAGAGTTGTCTTTAGGTATAGCTGGATCAAGGGATCCAGTAGTAGCCTTAGTTCTACTCTTGGTTCTACTGCTTCTGTTACTACTTCCCTCCTGTGGCAGAAGCTACCAGCTGCCCCAGGCTTAGACCTAGCCACCATCATTGATGACCAAGAGCTTCTCTGCAGGCAGCGAGCTGTTGAGTCTCCCTGCCAGGGCTGGCTGGGGTACACACTCTGAGGGGGATGGTGTGGGCCGGGCCGGAGCCCTGCGCTCACTCTGGACTCCAGAGGCGCCACCCTGTACCCCAGAGTAGGAAAGAGAGAGAGAGAAAAACCCCAGACAATTGTGTGTCTGCTGGGAGGAGAAGCTGACCACAGGGCCCGCATGGTGGGGGGGTTGGTGGGGGCTTCTCATCTGAGCCCCGCAGCTGGAGGCTGAGATCTGACACAAGCCGCCTAGACGAGGCTGGGTCAGTCAGAGCAGATGTGTCTGGAGAGCCTGGGCACACACCAGCCTTCTCTGGGCTTCCCTGGCCCCATTGTGTGGCCAATGTCTTCCCAGAGATACCAGGGGAGACAAAATGGTGGGTATTACTTCCAACATGACACCTCTCTCAAATCTACTCACTATGGATGTAGGGACAGTCTGAAGCCACCCTGCCCGACCTCTGACCCTACTCCATAGCCCCTCCCTCCCCCCTTGGTCTGCTCACCCTGCTATTTCCTAGTCTGCGTTGTGTTCTTACCTGTGTCTGCTACAGGTCTTGGAAACAGAGCTCGGCAGAGCCACCCGGGGCCTGCCTGGTGCAGAGTGGGGAGGCTGAGGCTGGGGCTGGGGCGCATGCGCCAAGCTGACTGCGTTGGTCTCCCAAATACCTGGCTTTGCTATCTCAATTCCTGCAGGGGTCTGGCTCCTTTGAAGGCCTTTTCTACCTTAGGCCCAGGGACTGGAGGTGCAGGTGAACGTATGTGTGTGAGCACCGATGTGGGTGTGTATGCACGTGTGCACGGACGTGCGAATGCTCTGATGCTGCAGGTCTCTGGGCAGGCCTGGCCCCAGCTCCTGGGCCCTTGGTCTTATAAGAGCCATCCTGGGGCATGGGTGTGGTGAGATGCCTCTCCCACTCCTGGACATCTGCCTCTGGCCAAGCCACATCTCTGGGGAGCATCCTCACCTGCCCACCCTGTCACCACCGCCTGCTCACGCACCATCACCCTGGAAGTCCCTGGGTTGTCCCACACCTGCTCCACTCTCCTCTGTGCCCGGGCCAGCACCTGGACTCCACCAGGCCCGTTGACCATCTCAGGTCCCCACGGTGCGATCCACCCTGGCTCCCCTCTCCATTCCTAGCAGCCCCCCTCGTTTTCTCCTCTCAGCCCCTTTTCCTCTACAGTTAACTGTCCCAGGCTTCAAGGAGCCTGAAAACGAGCCTGGGTCCATTGCTAGTGGTCAGACTTTCTCGTCACGCCATGCTGAGATGACTGGTGGGAATTTGCTTCCAAGTCTATTTTCCCCTAAAGCCCAAAGCTCCAAGTGCGGTTTGTTTCTATGTCTTCGAAGGCAGTTGTAGGCAAGGTGAGCAGCCTACAGGAAGGGCCAAGATGGATGGATGGATGGGGAAGTGGGTGGATGAGTAGATGTATGGATGGATGATGAATAAATGAATGACAGCTGGGTGCTGGTGGCTCACGCCTGTAATCCTAGCTACGCAGGAGACTGAGATCTGAGGATTGCAGTTTGAAGCCAGCCTGGGCAGAAAAGTCTTTGTGAGACTTCTCAAAAAAGCAGTGACCCTGTGGCTCAAGTGGTAGAGCTCTAGTC